CACTTCCCTTTCCTTCCTTCCTCGGCAGGTGGTTGGTTTTCTGAGCCTGGGGTTGCCCAGCTGGGACCCCTCGCTGCCGTTCGTCATGGCGGGTGCGGTGGCGGTGGCCGTGGTGGCCTACCAGGGCGTCATGCGCTTCAAGTGAGTGGGCTGAGGTGCCTGGAGAGCGCTTGGCAGTTCACTCCACACCACTCCACACCGCTCCACACCACTCTGCAATTACATGCATGGCTCAGACCGCCACCTCCACCAACCCCAGACATACATATATACATGCGAGTTACTTGCGAGCTGACCAGGAACTAAGTTGATGCGCCGTTGATCCGCTAGATTTGGTTGGATGCTGGTGGTGAGTTGCTGAACCCAACGAATACATTCTGAAGTCGGATGGGGTGAACGGATTAGGGTGCCCTTCTCGCAGGGGAGAGCAGGGAACTGCCCCGGGAAAGGGGGCCGCTGGTGAAGCTATACCACCCTGTAACGACATACATATATACATGCACACATACACGAATCAGGTTTCCATTAGCCTGATCTTCCAACATCCGGCCCCCCATCCCCGGCCCCGCAGGATGATGAACAAGCCGTTCTTCTGTCCAGCCTTCCAGATCCCCACCTCGACACTCATAGACGCTAAGTTGCTGGCCGGCGGGGTGCTGTTCGGGGCGGGATGGGGACTCGCGGGGATGTGCCCCGGCCCCGCGCTGGTCGACGCGCTGACGGGTGATGTACGGGTATTGTCGTACGTAGGCGCCATGGTCACGGGCATGTGGCTCGAGGGGCGCTTGAGCGCAGTGTGGGGTCAGTTGCCGGGGTCAGTGCCGGGGGTGGCGGTCCGGGGGCGGGCGGCATAACAGCCGAGGGGCATGTGTGTGTGTGTGTGTGCTGTCCAAAAAGAAGGAAAACGGAGAACAGAGAGCAGTAAGTTGGATATGGGAGCCAAGTACGACGTGGGGGTCGTACGGACAACAACAGGCGAGTCAGGTTTAGTTACGGTCCCTATTGTATAACGATATATATTGAATACAGATATTGAGGCCTGTATTGAGGCCCCATTGGATGATGTCGTGTATATATGTGCGCGTGCGCATGTATGCATGTGTGTGAAGGTGTGTGTGAAGGTTACAAGTATCTGAGCGGGCCTGGCCCTGGCCAGGGGCTGCTGCCCAGCCCCAACGGAAGGACCACCTAAGCTCTCTTCCTCGGACGGGAGAGGGGCGCGAGGGTATGTGTGTATGTATGTGTGTGTAGAGCATTTTTCTGGTGGGCTTGTCGTCGGAATAGGGGTAGATGTCTCCAATCCATACCGATTTGAGAGTGCCCGCCTGCCTTCATTGTTGTTTGGTGCGGGTGTGTGTGTGTTCGTGTGTGTTCGTGTCCTCTTCGTGGCATCACTGCCTTTTTTCTTTCATGCTACTCTCCGTCCCCGTGCTGAGGGTACTTGTGCTGAGTATGTGGATGGCCTGTGCGAGATGGCCGGTTTGTGAGAGATCCATGAGACCGAGGACAAAACCGAGGACGAAGGCGAGGAATGGTACACAAAAGCCCATGTCGAACAGGAACCCAGCCACATTCTAGAACCAGATCCTGTGGCGCCCATCTCAGGGTTTGGTCGTCCTTTTTGAAAACTGACTAACGGGAAAACGCTCGAGGAAATGGAAACAATCTTTTTAAACAAAGAAAGGGTGTGTAACGCTTACATAACCTGACGTAATCAGGGCGACGGCGGGAGACGGCGAATTTCATCAGGTGCGGACGTTAGTATGTACGTGTACGTAATAATAATAACGGTGTATGTAGATGTAGCTGCTGTACTTGAAATACCTGGCTGGAGTTCCGGGTGCACGACTCACGGCCCTACGAGCAATCGCAAAGCCTCCTTAATATTGTACCTGTGTTGGGGTAGACTATGTTAAATGCTGCAGGTGCGTGACACACTCCACGCACAAGTCCACCCCATGGTTGCCTTCATGTGACAGTCGGATGCATGCTGCGGCAGGGCCGGACTGAAGGAACAATGATACACGAGATGTGCGGCTGGTAGCTACCAACAGTCCTGCAAGGCAGTATAAGGCAGGACAGCAAACTCCCTTGAAGAGGGTATTTTGGGGAGCGAATTGGTACGCTGCTGCAACACACATGCGATGACATGTATAAAGGTATGCAGTCAGTACATGTATTTCCTTACCGGGAACTGTTGTCATGTTGTGTGTTGGTGACCATGTTTGCGGTGAAGGGTGGCCCTCTCCGCCTCAGTCGGGGGCACCCACAGCATGTTGCCATCGTGCAGGCAGTCGGGTGTGACCTGGCCGTTCTTTGCCAGGTGGGTTGTGAAGTTGTCCTTCAGGCCATTGTAGCGAGATGGGTGCTGATGTGGGAGGGGAGACGCCGGCGATTGCAGCATGCACCTACTGTAGCTGTAGGCAGATCCCTGGGCTGCCAGGGGTGCCCGGAATCTCGTGGTAACTTTGCTGTCATCATCCTGTAGAAGGCCGACATTCTGAATGGTGACAGGCTCCGTACCGGGCCGTTGTGCCTGTTGAACACACAAGACGTGGTTCAGTATGCAGGAATGATAGGGATTTGGGTGTTCCCTGTATGGCAATATAGTGTGGTGTTAGAACACGCACTCAACACCCCTTCCGAGATTCCGAAATCGTTGGGAGGATAACCACCAGTAGGATTGCTTCGACCCCAGGGTGAGAACCCCACGGGGAGCAGTGGAGCAGTGGGAGGGCGCTGTGATTACGGACAATGGATCCGCTGGCGGCATATCACAAGGGAGCCACCGCCTTTTGCATTCCATTATAAGAGGGACTTCAAGCTCTTTTGGTTTCTTATAGCAGTAGCGTACAGTTCAGGTACTGTTTATCACACTTATCAAACTCTCCTTCACGGGTTGGCGGTTTTGTGGCCGTTCGGCTGGTGGACGTGAACGTTCGCTTGAGGCCCTGCCAGGAGTCCAGGAAACGAAATCCGAATGGCCACGAAACTGTCCTCCACCAATTGAACAGCGTCGGTAGTGGCGATACCAACTTCAACATGCATCATGTAAGCCAACCTTGCGAAAACTAAAATATGCAAACACCGTGAAAGGCGTTGCTGTATTTATTGTGCTTCGGCCAGACGCAAGCAACAGACGCCAGAAAGGGACACGGAAATAAGCAGCAGGCCGTCCGAAAATGGTGGCGGTACTGGTGGCGGTACCCAGTTTAGAGCGAGGACGGTGCATCGCCCTTGCGCTGCACCGCAGCTCCATCTCGCAGAGCACGCCTTGCTGGGGCACCAGCACCGAAACAACACACGACCGACACGCCCAGACACACGCAGGTTTCCAGGTCCTGCATATCAACCCTAAAGAACACTCCGTCCCCTCCTCCTACCTATGCACCGTGACGAATCCACCATTGGCCTAAATAGCTTTATGCTCGCATCCTTTCCTTACTTCCAATTCAAGTCGAGAAGAGTCATTCCGAGCCACCCTTGAGGTGATAGCTGCACATGTATGTATGTGATGTAATATAATGAGTCCAACATGAACGGTAGTCGCAGCGATGGGAGCCTCCGTAAACGCAACGGGGACATACAGCTGCAACTCCAAGAGCGGTCTTGGCTGGCATCTTTGTGCCCCAAAGTCGCAAGAGATGTCAGCTGCCGCCCCAAAGCCCCTAATCGCTTGATCCGTAGCAGCCATATGGCGGCAGCAGCAGTAGCGACAGCAATTGCTAACAACAGCATTAGCTGCAACTGTCACAACAGCAGCACATCCACGGTGGCAATGGAATAACGCACGCTCACTAAAATGTGTACGTTTGAATCAAGGAGACAAAAAAGCAAAAGCAGCAGCAATACCAGTAGTAAGAGCAATTATAAACAGCAGTATCAATAGCAGCAGTAATAGAAATAGCAACAGCAGCAACAACATCCGGCCTCCAGTGCTCGCTGCATCAGGCGTGTGCACATCGAAGCCCCGGTCGGACCCGGTCCCATAATATGCCTATTATCCACGCTCCCTCCCACATAGCCCCACCACCTTCCAACCATCCTTCCCTCAAACACGCATTTCATCCCACACTGAACATGCAATGCGCGCGCGCAGCAAGCAACGCGCGCGCGCGCGTTTACTCCGCCGCTAAACATTCAGCCGCATTCCCCGCCCTCGGTCGGAGTGGTGGCTCGGCTCTACTCGGCAGCACCGTCCCCTCACCTGATACAATTCGTTCCACGTCCTGGCGAAAAGGACTACGCACTCACTCCCTCCACGCTCCCTCACCCCTCACTAGCCGCACCATCTATGCCCTCGCGCCATACCCACACCTCCGTCACAAACCTCCACACCTCCCTCCATGCTCAATCACTAGCTGCACCTTCCGTCACAAACGCCGTCTGTAACCCCAGCGTCGTCTTCATCTACATCCACAACCTACGTCAAAACGCACGAGCATCACCCACCGCTTCGTCCAGCCGCAGCTCGTAGGTGTATGTGTGGATGTGGGTTCTTAATGGACTGGATGCGCGTGCACCACATCCACACAGGTCGCATATCAGGTCGCCCTTACACCATGCACCCGATGACAAGCCCCCGCGGGACCCCCCCTAGAGTAGCTCAACGCTGAAAACTGCAGACTTATGCGATGCAATGCCATGCCCGGCAGCCCAACTGGGCCTCAGGCAGAGCAGGTACGTTGGAACCACTCCCCGGTCCGCAACTGGGTCGGTAAAACCCGGCAGATAACCCAATGCAGCCATCTGGTTCAGGATGGCCAAAGTTCAGTACAAGTTCAGTACAGGTTTAGTCCAGCTCTTTTGTCCAATGTGTGCGTGCAGTCCCCTGCTGTATTGCCCCCACTGCACTACCTGGCACCACATCTGCTCTGCTCTGCTGCTGAATCGTCCGCCCAAGCGGTTCTGTTCTGTCATGATGTGATGTCATGTCCGGATTTTTTTAACCACCACTACAATTGGCATCTGATCCCTCTTGCCCCTTAGCCACCTCACTTTCATTCCCGCCGCTTCATTCCCTGCAACCCGCGATTATTGCTGCTACTGCTACTGCTTCCTGCCGTTTTTAAGGCCGCCTTCGCGGCCATCTTGGTTGTTTGCAGCACAGGTCTCCGGGCCCCCAGCGCAGCCAGCAGCATCTCCTTGTTCTGCAGCCGCAGCAGCCCACACGGCGAGTCGTCCTGCAGTGCGCCCACCTCCAGCGGCAACGGCTGCACATTGGCCTTGCGAACCACCGAATACACCACCGGATCCAGCTGGGCCAGGGCCTGAATAGGCAACACAGGATAACACAGTACACGGGAGAAATGGGCCGCATGAAGATACATTTGCGATTTCACGCATGGCCCAAACATGCAGACATGTACATCTACACAACTTGAGGCTAATAATTTATATTCCATTTCTTTGTCTGATTCCTTTTTACTGACAAAAGCAGACACAGCTCCAAAAAATTTTTCATCATTCAAATTTTTTGGCAACTGGCAACCATGACACTAACAGACAGATGCAACAAGAGGTATGGGTTGGGAAGGGGCAGATAGACATTAGCGACCGGGAGGGCGTGCGTGCGTGCGTACATCGTACGTACTTTGGCAAAGTCGTACAGGTCTAGATCCACGGTCTGTGCCTTGAGAAGCTTGTCGAGGTCTTCGGGGATGTAGGCGGTCGTGTTGAACTCGGCCTCGCGGATCTGGGAGTCCTTGTCGTGGACATCGTCCAAGGTGTATTTCCAGCCCACCCCGTAGGTGGTGATGAGGTTCTTGACTATGCTGGCCTGTCCCCACCAGCAGCAGTAGCAGCATCAACAGCAACACCAGCAGCAGCACAACCACCACCAACAGCAGTAGCACCACCAACAGCAGCAGTAGCATCAGCAAGAGGCCAGGCAGTGAAGAGAGAGGTCGCACAGTCTTACGGCACACAATCTCAAAAGAGCCCCACATCCTGCTGACTTCTGGCCAACAAAACGCACAAAAACACTACATGAGGGTACAACAACCATAGTGCAACACCATTGACATGCTTCCAGCACAACACTACAACTCCAACAGTGCCCATCCATGCAACCCCCCCGCATACCCCCAAACACACTTTTCATTCCATCCCCCTTCTGTCCCCACTCCGTCCCCCCTCCCACAGCCTCCCCAACGCCTCCCGGCGACTTACCTGCTCCAGAACCACCACCATGTCAAACTGCGCCAGAACGTGTTTGGCCAGTCTCAACATGTCCGGAGTCACTGCCCCCACTGGCACATGGAAGGCCGCCTCACCCAGCAGCGACCGAACAAAGTAGTTATCAACGATGGCGGGGCCCAGGGACTGGAGGAATTGGGGGGAGGAGGACAGCAGGTAGCGGAGAGGAGGGGGTTGTTAAGGAGGCTGAGGGGAGGCACTTGTGGCAGAGCCGGAGCCACCAGGGGAATGGTACAGAGGTGGAAGCATGGGGCAGCCTGGGGCAGCAGGCGAGAGAGAACGCAGTGAGAGGGAAAGGGCATGAGAGAGGCTATGTGCCAACATGAGGCGTGTAGGAAGGCGGCCAGGGATGCGAGGCGAGCTGGGGGCTGATGGCAGGGGTAAGTGGCAAGGTGGGCTGCAAGGGCGGCAAGGTGAGGTGGCCGGGTGTTTTCCAGCGGTCCAACAAGATTGCCTTGCACCGGGCAAGAGCCGCAAGTGGAGATAGCACCTTACAATATGGCACTGTGCCACACACTACGGCACCGTACCTGCCAGAACTCCGATGTACGATTGGCGTACATTCGGTTGAATAGCAGTGTGTCATTGTAGCCCCTGTCACCGCTCATAGTCCACATCACAAACTTCATGTGTGACACTAGCCGCTTTAGAGGGTCGCTGCAGGTAGGGAGGCAGGGAGGGAGGTAGGGAGGGAGACGATGGCAGGTAGGCAGGGAGGGAGAGGACGGGAGTGACAATATGTAACAGTACCGGGCGCTTAGCGTCTGATAATTAGAATGAGTACAATCTAAACCCCTTAATAAAAGATCAATCCATTGGAGGGCAAGTCTGGTGCCAGCAGCCGCGGTAATTCCACTAACTTACCGTAGCACGATTGCGTTGAAGAAGTCGCTGCACATGTGCGCGTTGTCCATGCCCTTATGCCCCCCATGTACCGTGTACTCATTGGAATAGTAGTTGTACCCGCGAGTGGCGACCAGACGTCTTCTGGCGGCACAGGCGGCCACATCGTGACTCTTACGATAAGTACCATATCGCGAAAACCTGGTTCATGGTGCATTACATAATTTTGAGGAAGAGTAAGGTGGGGGGCGAGGAAGAGAACGGGAAGGAGATGGAGGGCCTGACAGACCACCGAGGAGGTGGCAAGGGTGCGATATGGCTGTATGGCTGTATGGGGACGTGTATGGAGGGTTGAGCTGCGACAGCACTGAGACTCCTGGAGCGCCTCTCACACCCTCATTACACACGTACCACGCCATGCACGTATGTTACATACATACGTACATGCATAGAGCCAACCATTATGTTAACATGCATACGGCCCCAGCTGTTGCCTAATCAGGACTGTGTATAACCTTCGGTGGATAGCTGCTCCTGTGGCTGCAGTGACAAGCAGCAGACCCACAGCCCAGTCCAGTCAAGAACAGCACCTGCACAATCTATCTAGCTACCCTAATCCACCTGGTCAGCTCAGCAAGCCCAGCAGCCCGGCAGCACACCCATCCACCAGGATATTAAAAGTCAACAACTTCAACACAGAAGAACAGCGAGCCAGGAGCGCAACTCTCGTCCAGCTCTTACTCAGCAAGTCAGCTAGCTCGCGGCTCCTAACCGTCCCGCGAGGTCAACCAACCCGCAATGCCTAGTTAGGCAAACCAGTCAACACGTGCAATTGACCAGTCTCAAAGGCAGCCCAAAGCCCTAAGTGGCCTTACTACGATATAAAGTCAACACAACTGGCCCCTGTTCCTGCCAGTCGCCAGAGGTGCATCACGCACCTCTTCAACACATACTGGGGTACTCGGTACACGGGGACTTGCAACATGTGGAACGTCATGTTCAGCCACCGGACCTTATCATCAAACTTCTTTATCTGACAGACGTACGACTTGTCGTACCGCTCCGTTGTACAGCCGTTGAGTTCTGGGGAGGGAGTTTGCGCCAAGGTCAGTTGCGGGGTAACATTACGGGCATTTTTTTATCTATAGGAATACCGACGCCCAAAGCAACAACTGCCATTTAAACTTTTCACCAACTGCCGAAGCCACCCGCGCAGCCATGCAACTGCACTGCACCCCCCTGATTGTGTGCTCTGTGGCTGCGGAGCCTTGTCTCAACAAATGTTCGCGCGACAATTGTGAGTTTATTTTAGATATGCCGCCTGTTTTCAAGGTTTCGGGGCGGGGCTCCGTTTTACATCCAGCACCGTTTTAACCGAAGATGCGCGCTTTGTTCTTCGGCTCAGCTCTTGTCAAAAATGCTCTCGTCAGTTCAATTTGACGAGGTGCGCTCATCTACACACAGGCTCAGAGTCAGTGAAAGGAATGGAAATCCACCGTTTGCCTGTCACCCACCTGCTATATGGCACCAGCTGGTGCCCCCCGATTTGGAAACGTGTAAATACTCCATGACACCCTTGTGCACGGCACCTATTCGGTGCGCGTTGTACAACTGCATGGGAGGGCAGGAGGGCCGGTTAGGTTTTCCGGGAGTGTGTGCTGGGGGCCCCCTTGGTGATATTGCAGCTGAAGGTTGCTAGTGTTTTTGTGTCGTTGCGATGCAATGGCGACATGCCTGGGATGTACATAGGAGACTGTGTGCGACCATGCACGTATGCACGCCCGCACGCACGTGCTAGCAACAGATTGCACCAATAGGCAAGCAGAAAGCGTTCACGCAAAGCCGTAGGGGTATGGATTTGCGGCGGGCGCTGGAGTCACACAGATTTACAAGACTGGGTGCTTTCGTAGCCGCTGGTCGGCGCAACGTCCCCAAATAGGAGCGGCCTGCGGAGAAGTGCCGCGATCAGGAAATCGGATGTGGACCCGCGCACGCAAAAACCCGTTCACATGTAGATGCACGCATGCCAGCTGGTAACTGCAACCATGCCCGATGGTAGGCACGTTGACCAGGCCAGGGGCGTGAAGATGGTTGATCCCGCTGCAGCCCGAACGGGCCACCCTATATACACACCTTGAGGAGGAAGTCCTGTACTTTCGCCGCACTCGCGTCGGGAAGCTGGGCGCCATGTTCCAGCCAGTGCTTTAATAAAGAGCCCACAAGAAGACGCCGGACCATTGCAAAACTTTTGGTCTCGTTGAGCTTAGGTACAAGCTGCCCGACCCGGTCGGCCCAATCATCTAGTTTACTGGTTGCCAATGACTGCGCAATGCTTGTTCCAAGCTGCCTCGCCCGAGCGTCCTCGTACTCAGGGATGTGGAGCAGCTCCTCGCCTGACCTACTGATGCCTAACGCCAAAAGCGTGTCAAGATGCGTCAAAAGGGCTTTTCGCGCCTTTTCGTCGTTTGCTTCGGTCCCGAAAAGCTCCATAAGCACATCTTGAACAGGGTTTGATGCTGCAATTGTGGACAAAAGTCCAAGGCAGCATACGAATAAAGTGGAGAAACTTATAGAAAAGCGCGTCATTTACACAATGTAGATCAGCGTTTTCAAAATAAAGCAAAGGAAAATCATTTCCACGGAGAAACCGTCACACCAAACTCTTCGTCTATCCCACAGTTTCTACATGCAAATTTTATCAAAACTAGGTCAAGGCATGTCAACTCTAGTGCTGAATACTCTTTAATATCTTAATTTCTTTAATGCTGATGCCATAGCCCCATCCCACCAGTTAGCATCAAACGTGTCTGGATTTGGAATCAGGAGTCGGCCGCAGGTCTCGGAGCCGCTCCCTCATGTGCTGTGCAGAACTTATATGGCGTTGTGCACATCGGAATATATAATTAGCACCAGTCGAGAGTGATAGCTGGGTATCCGCCTGGAAATAAAGATCGAAGGGCGTGTCGCCGGTCTGAATATGTTTTTGGGATGCATATGGTACCTCTGCTGTTGTAAATATTAAAATTTTGGGGCTCAATCCACGCAATTGTCCATTTCACAGTGCAGCTGAGCCTTTCAGACCGTTTATCGCATCACCCACGCACCACGCACGTCCACGCACCATCCGCCCGCCACATCGGGTCGCATATGCGCTCCCTGTCCCGAGGAACGCAGAAACACAACCGACGACGACGGTTACCATTACCGCCTGACGCCCTATATAATGCTTCGGAATAGCGGCGTCACAATCTTGAATATTTTGAAAACCATAAACGACTGGATGTCATCTAAACCACTAAACCTAACCTGATGCCCAGTTGGCCACCATACCAGTCCAAACGATCCATTGGGCTCCTTGGCCATCGCTACTACGCAACGGTACCGCAGCATGCACCTCAAGGAAAAGAAGGAATTCGAACAGGCCTTAACACATCCACAAAAATTGTTAACCCTTCGTTTGCATCCGAGATCTTTCGTTAAAGACCATAACCCAGATCCGAACTCTGTCTTTTCCTCCTAAACCCCACCTTCCACTGGCACCATATCACATCCCACGTAAAGCCCTACCTCACCGCCGTCCTCCTGCCGTATTGCCACCGCGCGCGTAAATCACCGCCAACGTGTTCTTATTACTGCTGCAGGCGCGTTGGCGCACATAGCTCTCCTTTTTTACAGGGTGGTTAAGCTTCACCAGTGGCCTCCTTCCCGAGGCAGTTCCCTGCTCTCCCTTACTAGAGGGGCACCCTAAGCCATTCACCCCATCCGACTTCAGAGTGTACTCTTTGAGTTTGGCAACTCACCACCAGCATCCAACCAAATCTAGCGGATCAACGGCGCCTCAACTTAGTTCCTGGTCAGCCCGCGAATTGATTTTATCACGTCCTACACCGTCCACAAGATGGGGGGCCACCTCCCATTTCACCACCTCTCAAACACCCGAGAGGTCGGCAGGCGGATTTGAACCCGGGTCGGCCGGGAGCAGAAGTCAGGCCTTAACCTCTGCCTGTTTGCGCTTAGACATGCTTATCCAGGACTGGTAGATAAACTGACCCCCGACAACCGCTGCTAACTGCTGTGTTGTTAACCACCCTCCTGCCACTGCCACTGTCCGCAAGTGCTGCTATCACCCGCCGACAACACTGCCACTGGTGTGAGCGTTGCTGCTATCGTTCAGGGTCATTTGAATTGGGTGGCTCGTGACGTAGCGGCGTGTCTTGTTGACCACAGAAGTTGGGCATGCCTGCGGAAAGAGAAAAAGGATACAAAAATGCGGCGTTCAATGTTTGGGGGTCTTAGGGAGAGGGAAATCACATGCTAGAGACAATGGATCAGCTAAAGCAGAGTTGGAAATTGCACAAACGAATCTTTAGGAATAGATTCAAGATCAGGAAAAGAAAAGACTACATTCCCGAAAAAACCCGAATACTTCCAACTGGAAAAACAACTTCGAAACTTGATAAAGGAAAAAGAGAGTTTGGCAGCAAACACCGTGAAAGGGGAGCGGGCGGCGCCCCCCCCCGAACTCAACATCCAACCCCACACACCCCCACACACCCCACACACCCCCACACACCCCTACACGTACAGAGACCCCAGGAAACCCACGGCCCAACCCAACCCAGGCCGCTTCACCCCGCTTGACCCACTATACCCGGATGACCTGATTTTGCAGCCTCGACAGCATCAGCCGCTAAAACATCACCAATCCCCCATTCGGGACACGCAATCCACAACCTATACAGTCTATCGCACCTGACGACACCCTTCTCGCCGTCACTGGTCGCCACTGGTCCAACAACCCACCCTGTGGCCCTTCCGTCACCCCATCCTTCATCCTGAACCCGCCATCTTCCTCCTCTTCCCATTGGTCTACAAGCTCCCCCCCTCACCACCCTTCGCCCGGATGGAGTGGAGTGTGTTTTCCGTTCTTGCCTAATCAGCAACTGAAACCGTTATTCCTTAGGAAGCGCCGTTTCCTTGTGGAACCGCCTACCCACCGATGCCATCGCATCAGCACCACACGACCCGAACCACCTCAATCCCAACCCACTTCGCAGCCCCAGAAACCCCTCCCCGCTTCTTCCTCACTTGCGGGAACATGATGTCAAAATTGTACTGGTCGTTGAAGTGGGGCTGCTGCTCCGGAACCAACTCAAGGTTCATCTTCTTTGCCATGATGCGGCTTGAGACCGCGTCCATGGCCCTTAGGGTGCGAGGGAAAGAGCGACAAAGAAGAACAGCAGTTGCAGTAGCAGTAGCAGGACCGTATTACAACGGAGTGCAGTTCAGCAGAGGTCGAGATGTGCAAAAGCAATCTGTACAAAAGCGAGGAAGTGGAGAAGCGCCTTTGGAAAGAAGGAAACAGAGGAGGGCCAGGGAGAGATATATAGGAGACGACGGCAGCTCGGAGAGGTAGAAGCGAGCGCAAGGAGAGTCGTACCTTTCCAATGCGTCTGTCGCAATCCTCACGTCGATATCTGGACCCTGGTAGCGCACCTGGAGTCAATCCCCGGTAGAAAGGAGATGTGGGAGGGAGGAAGGAACGAAAAAGAGGCAGGCGCAACGATAGCGTTGTGGAAAATGTGTTTTGCCAGCAGGGCCCGGCAAATGCTACCGGGCCTCTCGGACTTTGCACCACACTCCCAACACGCTTTGCACCACACTCCCATCACATACCAAACACACTCCACGGTGTTTGGAAGTACACTTCCCCACTGTAACCGTCCAAACATATTCATTCCTTCATTCACACAACACTCCCCACGACACACACGCATACACACATACACACCTGCTCGTAGTACGCGCCCACGTTGTGCGCCAGGGAGGGGAAGAGGTTGAGCATGTTGCCAGTCTGTGCCTCCTCCCACCCCAACCCCGCCAGCTCTAACAGTGCAGATTCTCCAGCAGTCAATGAGGTGATGAACGTGAGCGCGGCGCCATGGACACCGATCAGGACGCCGGTCCTGCGACATGAAGGAAAAGTTGGATAAAGATTGTACACCAACCACCAACTGCCAACCACCCCAACTGCTACAATGGCATTCACTCTTGTCCTGCCTTACCCTCCTTTACCTGTATATTGTCAAGAGCTGGTCCGGGTAGTACGGCCAGTCGCTGAACTCCCCGAAAACCAAGTCGAACTGCACATTGGAGTTCCGGCATCCCGCCATACCCTCGTCTCCCCCGTAATAGCGCGCCAGCAGGCAGGAGCGGGAGTTCCACCGCAATATGGCCGACTGAGGCAACGGCAGAGAGAAGAGGGGGAAGGGGGAAAGGGGGATACGTATGTGTGTTTACATACGTGTATTTTAAGTTATACGTGATAATATAGGTGGTCAACTTTGCCGAATGACGCCCAAAGCACCGACTGCCATAGGAGCCCCAGGAGCAATTACAATATCCTACACGACTGCCCGGGGAAACGGGAGAAAGGAAGGAGACGAACTAGAGGCCGAGTAGGAGAAGTGAACAGGGAAGGAGCAATCACCCGCGCCTCTCTCTCACATTCTCATTCTCACATTCTCACTATTTTTCTCTCTTTCTCACACACACATTCTCTCACATTCTCTCTCACACTCCCATTCTCATTCACATCCTCACTCACATTTCCGTTCTCACTCGCATTCTCGTTCTCGCATTCTCACATTCTCACTTGTTCACACTCTCGCTCTCACCAACCTCCGTCAACCCATGAATAGCCCACCTGCAGCGCCGTCACCACCTCATTCTCATTGGGCACCATCCGAGCCGACTGCCACTCCGTCATGCCCGCGCCGCTAGTCAGGCGAAGTGCCTCCAGGTTACGGCGGCTCGTCCAAACCACAGCGCGCCGTACGATGCCACCGGTTTCGGAGGCGTGATGATGCACACGGGACAAGTAGGCGGGATCCAGCTCCTTGTGAAGGTTCCGGAGCCACCTGGCGCAGGGAGGACAGCAGCTACATAGGTATTCCTTCAAAAACACGGCGCTTGCCGTACGTACGACACACAGGCTAAACAGCTGGGGAGAGTCTCGGGACGGCCGCCATTCACCTGTGCACTCCAACCATGATTGGCGAGAAGCAGCGCGACGTGTTGGGATTGGGGTTGAAGGCAATGGAGTTTGTGAAGGCATTGATAAACAACGCCGTGCGGAAGCAGGTATTTGGCGGGTAGGGCGCCTCGGCAAGGTGGCGAAGGCGGTACGGGTAGGAGATGGCCGCGTAGGTGGCTCGGTAGGAAGCGTGGGGCATCTGGTCAGCAATGACGATCTGGACTCCCTGATTGCGAATCTGCGAAATTACATCCAGTTCAATTCCGACGCGGCGCAGTTAATTAATATATTAAGGGGAGTATCAGAAGATTAGCAATTAAGGAGGAGCATAATCAGTACGGGCCTGCGGTGGCAGATGTCATGAGGTTTGGCGGGTTTCGAACACACGGCACAGGATATGGAAACCTGCGGGGTCCTCCGGATCTCATCGTTGCGGATGGCCAGTTTGGCTGGTAGGGCAGTTAAGTGGTATGCATAGGACGGGAAGTAAAATATTTTATGTTATTGAGCGCTACAATTGCCGGGACCTTGGCTTCAGGGGAGCGAGGAACGTACTGTTATGGCCGAGGCTTTCCACCCAGCTGCGGCTACGTTTCTACGTTTCAGAGTTCTGGGAGGCGAGCCGAGCTCCGGCGCGTGGAGCTACTGCGGGCGGGAGAGGACGATGCCGTCCCCACTGGGCGCCAAAATAATGGCAACTAGTCAGGGGGTGGTGAGCGAGTGCTGCATTGGCCTCCCGTATCCGCAGGCTCCCTTCCTACCTACCTACCAGCCGCTACCAGGTTCGAGATATAAAAACCCTCCCCCTCCTCCTCCACATCCCTCACCCCCCTCCCTCTTAAACCCTCACGGCACGGCACGTACGGACTAACCCCAGTCGTCCAGATCTCTCGTACAAATCCAGTTTCCCGTGCCCAGCCCCCCCCAGCACTTCTACATCTCCGGCACTCTATTACGGCATCGTACGACTGACCTCTGTCAAATTGGCAACAGCCAGGCTAGTAAAGATGGTGGCCAGAACTTCCAGCTCGTGTAGCGTGTGTGTGTATCGGTCTCGGAGCACGAATGCGACGGGGTGCTCAACCACATGTCCACTGCCCGATGCACAATGCTGCCGTACAGAGTCGTACGCATTGTCCTGTGGGATGCCGGATGCGCAGCCAGGCGGCGCCACCGGTGGCGACAATCGAGGGCGGTTGGGGTGGAAACGACATACATACTGACAGAACAGCGTCAGTCGCGATGCAATGCAAGGCGATGTGATGTAATACAAACCCCTGGGCGAATCTTATTGTTATCGCATACCCTTGCGTCTTCAGTCATCCGCGGATGGATGGCGGCGGCGCCGCCGCCGGCCCCCATCCAACCGCTCCTAAAAGTCCCTACCAGGCGTACCTCCCTACCTGCCCAATTCCCCCTACCTGCCCCCTGCCCACCCCCCTCCTCGCCCCGTACTACCTGCGCGTTCCACCACCACACGCGGTTCTTGTAGCCCTTGGTCAGATTGCGTTCCGCCAGCAGAGATGACTGAACGGTGCAACCCAGCTTCACAGCTCCTACCTGGCAAACCCAGTGTGCCGCGGGTTGGGGATTTGGGCGGAGGAGTTGGGGTTGAGGCTGGCGGTCGGGGAAATATCTTGGCGACGAATCACTAAATAGGGGCGGGGGGGGCCTGGCGGAGAGGGTCGGGAATGCAGATATGAATGGAATCGGGACGAGGGAGGGAAAGGCGTCGGCTGCGGGGGAAGAGCCAGGGATTGGCCTCTTCTCCCCCACCTGCCCCCCTCCCACCCTCCCCCCGCCACACCAACCCCCTGCCACCCACTCAAAACACACCACACTCACCCACGCCTTATCACAAAACCCCACTCTGCCGCCCCCATTTCCACCCAACCCTAACCACGGCTGACCTTTGGTTTCGGGAAGCGCACTTCGAAGCCTTCGTTTTGGCCGTCGTAGAAGCCGCATGTATCCAGGACAACGTTGCGTCCCACGCACATGAGCTGTGCGTCCTTGTAACCCACATCGCGAGGCATGGAGGGTTGCAGATAACAGCTCACGGAGGACTTGAAGCTGCTATTGACGGCCGTAAGCGCGGGGACCTCGACGTCGGGCTCGAAGGCGGCGAGGAAAGCGGCGCGGCGCTTGGCTAGCCAGGCAGCCTTCTTTGCAGCGGCGGCGGCGGCGGCTGTTGCACCGCCGCCGACGGCCTTGGCATCCTCGTTGCCTTCGCCTTCGCCGCTGTTATCATCATTATCGTCGTCGCCGGCATCGTTGTACACGTCGGACGTGTCGCCGGCATCGTCAGATTTCTTCGTGTTGACGTACTTTAGGATTTTGTACATCAGGCTGCTACTGCTGTTGCCATTCTCCGTGGCTTGGAGGTGTCGCCGGGCCATGGCGTGTGCACTACTGCTACTGCAACTGATTTGGCTGCTACAGCGGCTGGCACTGCAAGGTTTGGGATCAAGGACATGACTGGAAGCGGAGTGCTGGCCCGACAAGCAGTCAGTTGCTCGTCCGTTCGGGCGGCCATCTATGGCACCAGCCATTTGGTCTTCAAGATGTTTGCGAGACACGACGTAGCGCGCCTTGGCAGTGACAGCGACGGTAGAGGCAAGACCAAGGGTGCTGCTGGAGTGCTGCTGCATTAGCGTCCGGCGCTTTCCAGCCCCAGCCCCAGCGGCAGACCCCGCAGTAGCAGCTGCGTCGATTTCACTTCCGGTCTTGTTCAGCGCTTTCAACAGCTGCTGCCGCTTCCTCCACGCCTGTTGTTTTTTTAGTAGGCGCTCGCGAAACACGGCGAGCGAGGATGAAGATCGCGATACCCCCGTGAGCTTCCCATCGCTACCAAGCGTCGCTTCGGACTTGCACAAACGAAAGTGGTGATGCTTCTGATCGGTGATGAACGTGTATCCATACCGCGTCTCACATTCGTCAGAGAGCTTGATGCCCACTTGCTTCATGTGCGCAATGCCGTCCATGACAAAACGCACAGCGTCGTTGTGTTCAACGTCCGCTGCGGTAATGTCCGAAATGAGAGCATCGTCTAGAGTATGGCCCCTTCGTTTTGTTTGTCTAGGCCGCAAGGTGAGTGCCCCAGCGCTCATGACCAGCAACATGACCAGCAACAGACGGAATGCCCCGCCATGACTGCTCCAATAAGCAGCCATGGCGAGCCTAACGAGTTCACTTCGGACGTCAATACGCGCTACTTGAATAACACGTAACTAAAAATAGACACCAAGCCCTGAAGCCTAAAGGATTTGTAATATACAAATTAAGGAGGTATGTGGCTTAGTTGACTGCATATCCATTAATCAGGCTGCCTGTTGGCATAAATGACGCACGACGCTCGCAGCAATTATCGTCAAAAGGCTAGGGATGTATCATATCCATAACTAAGATTTTTGTTTCAAATTACTTCACCTCATAAACGCCTCATCGTTCCAAGCCTGGCTTTCGCTTGTTGCAGCCCTGACATTATGGCCAAGGCTGCAGTTGGGAAACTTTCAAAAGTCCGTACAGCAAATAGTGCTTTCAACTTTCACCAAGCTAAATGTCATCACCTGGACTTTCTCCCCAGATTTATTGCTCACATTACTGCATAAGGTCAAATCCGTTGCCTTACATACCGTACAAGATGGTGTAACTACAGCTTTCACCCCGACTGGGACTGCTCGACGCACTAGTCGATAGCACCCTAATCCAAAATAATCCAACAGCCCAACTTCCTGTGCTCGCCCTACAAACCCAAAAAAACGTAGCCTGACTACACGATCAAACCATCGCCCTCTCCAGCGCCCTCGCCGTCTTCTCCTCTCGACCCCACACCGCCGGCCACCAAGCGGGCGTCACCGGGATCACACGCCACACAGCTACCCCAGCCCCCACGTCTCCCTGGGCCCCCTTAACTCCGCCTCCTTTTTCCCCCCCAGCCCCTGGCATTCCTTCCCCCTTAGCCGCCACCGCGAGGCCTTCCCGCCCGCTCGTCGCCTCCGTGAACCCCAAGCTCCCTGCTGCTTGCGTCTCCATCGAGGACGACGAGGCGGCCATTATCAGCTCCGACTTGCCCTCCACCGCCGGAAGTGCGGCCTCGAGTCTGAGATAGGCAATACCCCACGCCGATAACCCTGGCCCCCCCCTCACACACCCCGGCGCCACCACCACACCACGGAGCTGCCCTACGCTGCGGCCGCTAGCTGCATCCAACACGTCAGCTCCCGCTCCAAAAGGAAGAGCCGCCGTCGCGGCCGACGACGATGACGATGTCGACGACGATGTCGACTCCGATGCCGACAAAGACAGACCTGCAGTACAGTTCCAGAAGCGCGTGGCATATATATCCCTTGGCACACAGCTTGCTCAGTAATGGTACTCAAATAGAAACTCACTACGAGTTAGTTGGGTTCAGTTAGCCCGGTTTAATTGGTTAAAGAGGGTTAGTTATATCGCCTGAAGGAGGATTGTGTTCAGTCTGTGGGGTTGTAGGGCTGAGGAATTGTACGGCTGTCAGACAGGTCGGCGACCCCATTCAACTGGCCTCGGCTAGGGCTGCTGCTGTTTTGGGTCGGTCGGGGCCATCCCAGCACCGCTCGAAGCCCCCACGGAGAGGACCTCCCCCCCCACTCCCCTCCCTTCCCGTCCCGTCCCCTCCCTTGCTCAGTCAGCGAGCATCACTCGCTCGTGGTTCGTCTTTACCCCTCCCTCCCATCGTCATCGTCGCCGTCAAAATGACGGAGAAATACACGCACTCGTCACTCCGTTGGCTCCGTAGTGGAACCCTCCTCGTGGCGCAGCCCTCCCTCCGCCCACACCCCGTCTTCATGTTCATCCACATCCACATCCACATCCACATCCCAGCGTTCCACGTACCCGGACTCCCACCCGCCTCCAACACCGCATCCCCAAGTCTCGGAGCCTCCAGCCGCACTGGCATGAGCCGTCTGGGTGGAGGTGGAGGTGGCGGCCAAGTGGGGAGGGGGTCAGTAAATGTACAAATGTACACACGTTATGAGCACGCGGGAGAGGAGGTGAAGGCAAATGATCGGAAAAGCAACCGTAGTCATTTCCCTTCCCTACCCCCGTCCCACCTATCCACCTAATAATACCCCTTCCCCCCCACTTTCCCCTCCCCTTCCCTCACCCCACTTTCCCCTCCTCTCCCATCCCCGCTCCGTACGTACCGCCGTACCACCCCTCGGTAGTGAGTGAATGAGTTCCTCTCCTGGCCCACGTAGCAGCCCTTGGTGTAGCTCACACCGCTAAGCTGATCCATGTTGAAGTCCAGGGGGGCCACCTGGCCTGCGTTATGAGATGGCGTTATGAGATGGCGTTATGGGATGGCGTTATGGGACGGCGGGAGATGCGTATGATGTATTGTTGTGTACGGGACGGGGCGGGGCAGGCAAATTGTTGAGGTGCATGCGTGGTTTGCGCGGTGTGCATATGCACGTGTGGGGTGGCAGTGCCAGTAGTGTTGCTGCTGCTGCTATTGCTATTGCTACTGCTACTGCTACTGTTATTGCTACTGCTACTGCTAATGTTGCTGCATATGTTGCTGCTACTGCTACTACTTATGTTGCTGCTATTGCTACTGCATATGTTGCTGCTACTGCTGCTGTTGCTGCTGCAGAACAGGGCCGACCTCTACAAGCTGGTCCCCAACGGGCTTCCCGACACGGGGTGGGGGTGGGGGTGAGGTGCCAGGAAGGCGCCGGTAGCGCTGCCGCTCCAGGGGGCCTGAGGTGCCTCATCCGCACCGCTACCAGACGACATCCCAAAAGAACTCAACAACGGCGAAAACGGGAAAGGAGGGCGATGCCCGAGGAGTCGCAAGGGGCTCGTGCGCCCGCGTGTGTGTGTGTGTGTGTGTGTGTGTGTGTGTGTGTGTGTGTGTGTGTGCGTGCGGAGGGGGGGAATATACGCACACGTAGGCTCCCCGCACTCCGAGACTCCGAGAATGATTTGGATCGAGTTGGTGTTCATATGCAACATGACGTCCACACTGTGCGCGGCGCGCGAGCGAGGAGGAAGAGAGCCCGGGCCCAGCGCTATCAGGAAAAAGGGGGCTTCTGCTGCATGGGGCCGATTGGGTGGTGGCCGTCGCGAAGTCGATTCGGAAGTCGACATCAACATGCAACTACGGCCAGAATGTACGGATGTACGACAGCCTGGACCTCTTCATCCTTCGCCGCCGCCGCCACCACTGACCTGAGGGTATCTCCTTCTCGCCCTCCGCGACCCCTAGTTGGTAGCGCAGCAGCCGGTACTCCTCTTCACTGACCCTGGTAGTGGCGGTGGTCGTGGCGGTGGTAGTGGTGGTGGTAGTGGTGGTGCCTGAGGTGGCGCCCGCTACCGTGAGGGGAGGGGGGGAGGGGGAGGGGAAAGGGAGAGGAGAAGTTAAGAGAGAAGCTGAGAGAGGAGGATGGGGGGGGCCCACATGCGGGCGACAATGACGACAATAATAGGCTGTTTCATGCTTTCACGCACATGATTGGTATAATTAAACAAAACTATTGGATATGAGATTTACATGTGAATCTAACAGGCGTGTTGATTTTAACGTTGCTAGAGCAAGAAATTATATCATCACTTGTTGGAAAGTGACCGACACTCATACACCAGAGAATGGTGACAGCAATAATAGGACCCAAGGGGGGGGCCTCCGTGGCGCTTTGCTGTGTCTTTAACATCGCTTTCCCAATGTGGAAAGCTAATTGTCAAAAAGGCTTTTCGTTTGCTCGAAAAGAATTAGAGAGCCTGACACTCGCACCTCCCCTTTTATTCACACACACACACACACGCGCGCGCGATATCCTACGTTGAGCCCATCCCTCTCTCCCCCCTTCTCCTCCCCCCATCTTCTCTTTCCCCATCACTCTCGTTATCTCTCGGGCTAAGCAGCGGCCCACAACGGCGCTGCATCCCAATCCTGGCGCACACAAGCACACACACCTTCACTGCCCACCGCCGCTTCTGAAGTCGCTGTTGTCGCCGCCGTCGCCGTCGCCGTCACCTGCTCGCCCCTCAGCTCCTCAGCTGGCACACGCATAAGGCCCCTGAACCCTAGCTCTGGTAGTCTGGGGTCAGGCCGCCACCAGGGGCCTATCCACGGCCACAGATCCGGGGTCAGATCATGGTCGGGTCGTTTGGTGGGGTCGTTTGGTGGGGGCGTTTAGGCATTGATGGCCATTGAAGTGGTCCGGTGCGGGCAACACGGTGCGGGGGAGGCGACAGCGAGGTGCGAAGGGGAATGAATGGTGGGGCGGGTGAGGCGGCGGGGTGAGAGGCGGCGGACGGAGCTTAGGAGACGACAGGGCAGAGGCAGGAGAGGTCCCGGATTCCCGGGGGGTTATACATCGCCAGTACGACAGACAGATCAGTGACGGAAAACGTAAGTAATATAGTGCACCAACTCCCCCCCGGTGATCGTGTGAGAGAGTATAAGAGAGTGTGTGTGTGTGTGTTGAGCGATTATTTCCTTAACTGGCGGCGCTTATGGATGTCAGGGAGGAGTTGGGGTCCTAATCAAGATCCGTACGGTACGGCAGCCGTGGGTTATCAGCCCCTGATGTCGTGCCGTGTTATTTCCAGGTGGTCTGAAGCTGGCCAAGGGCCGGAGATGAGATTTTGCGCCTGAGCGGTGCGGATACTCGGTTCGGCATTTGAAAACGACAAGCATGCACGGGCACAATGCGGGGTGTACGGAATCATGGCAGTCATAGCGGCGGTGTCGGGAATTACCCGGCGGCGGCGAGTTGCTTCCCCATGCTGCCGCCACGCAGTACTCTGAGGACACATCCCGGAAGTTGATGGGCCGACGGAGCTTGTACCTGGGGGCCGGCAGGGGAATGCGGGGCAAGGGGGGGGAAGGGAAGATTAAAACCGTGCCGAAAGGTAGAGCGGACGCGGTTATAACCCCACGCTGAATTGAATGGTGCAGTTTCAGTTAGTCCGCGCTTTCCTCTCTCTGTCACTGGTCCGGTTCTCAGCCCTAAGTTAAAATCCGTCACGCACGCGACGGTGGCTTCCGTTCGTGTGAAGGACAGAACGGATAGGTACGGACATACACACAGACAAATACTTTCCCCCTCATCCTTACCTCCCCCTTCTGCCCCTCCCTTCCCCCCATCCTACCGGTTGAGCAGCTGTAACGCCGCATTCAGACCCTCCCTGTCCACATCCATCAGCACGGCGCCTTCAAGCTCTGGGAATGTGGCCGGGGGTTAGCGGGGGTGGGGAGGAGTGAGCAGGCGGCCGGACCTATCCAACCGGCGAAGGATCAGCTGGGACCGATCGGGCCGTGGATGATGCTACAGGTCGCTTGAGATAAAGCAGGTGGGGGCCCCAGGCGAGCTATGGAGCAATTGCTGCAGGGAATTCCCAAGCCCCGTTTAACCACCTGAACGCATCTGCACACACACAGGCACACACACGTGACAAAGAGCAGCGGATTTCTTAAACTTCTCTGCATTTGATTTACGCGTAAACCTTTTACTGCCTTTTCAGTCGATAAACAAAACAAAATGAAATAAACGATCAGGGAACCACAAAAAAAGGGAACCACAAAAAAAATTAAAAATGCACACTTACTTCCTTAGTTTTTGGCGTGGTGTTTTCTCAATCAGGACGGGCGACCGCCCGGCTGTCTACGTTTTTGGGGTACAAAATACCCCCAGCAAGCCATGCAACCGCATAGGAAACGCGGTTAAGGTATTTTAACTCAAATTTCCTGACGAGATCGATATCGAATTGCCGGCCCTAGCTAGCTTTAAAGTTTTAATATTAATTATACAAGTACAACAAAAAATTTCCTGGAAAAAATTTGGTTTGTTTTGCTCGGCCTGCTGGCAGTCACACACCTGGATGCGGATAGAGGAAGACATCGTGCAGGAACTTGCCCTTGGGTGTGAGGATGGTGGCGTAGGTGGGCGGCTGCTGGGGGCCTTTGGCCGGAAACGGAGAGGCGACGAGAGGGGGGAATTGGAGTTTCCACTTCAGTGAGTGAGAGAGAGAGAGAGAGATGAATGCAAGTCCGGAAATCGCAAAGGTCTGGCAGTCGTTCGACTATAAGGAACAATACTGCTGCTGCTAATGATAAAGCTGCAGATGGCGATAATCCTGGTAAATGCCGCTTATGTCGTTTATAATGCGGCTCTATGACTCCAGCCTCGCGTGCTTCAGGGTAAAGGCTTGAGAACTTTGGCTATACCTCCGTGCGGGTTTTCCTTTTCCCCATACCCGACTGACCCTGCACCTCCGAACCCGCACCATTCTGCGCTAATTCTGACCACTCAACCCAACTGGCCAGTCACCAGTTCGAATCCGGGCACCCTTTTCAACTTTGAACGGGTACAGAAGCACTGGGCTGTGAATGACGACAAAGACTTCCCTTCTCCTCTTCCAAGGATACAGCCAGCGAAAAGCCTTGGTTAACCTTCCCTTCTCCCCTTCCGTCTCGCAGGCAAACATTTGCACACACCTGCGCCCAAGAGCGGCCGCACATCGTTGGATACGATGCCCTGCGCAAACCCACAATAGTTACTATCGACTGGCACTCACTCAATCGACTGGCATTGCTAGCTCCCGTTCCAGATAAAACAGGTTCCGAGTATTTTACCTGTAAAAACTCCAGCACTTGCGAACCCTCTGCTTGCAGCACACCTCGCGAAGCAAGAATTGCCCACCGGCTTGAGGAGGACGTTAGTGCCGATGTAAACGATCGCCATAACTGTGCGCGAGCGCAATTAAGGTCAAAACAGTGCTTGACATGGGAAAGACAACCTTGCCCCGACATAATGCGGTCCGTTTGCAGCGCGAAGCACCTGTAAGCTATGGGGAACATCGTTCAGGTTGGAACAAAGATTTGCGACATTACTTGCTGTTGCATGTGGGCATGCAATTGCGAGTTGGCGACTTGGCGAGTCGTTGTCCTGCATTAATCATACTACAACGGATGTTCTCTCCGATACTGCAAGCTGGGATTTCAGACATGCCATTTTCCCGTTATGAGCTTTTAGGGAATCCATGTGAAAGCATGCAACGCGAAATACCATGCACGCGGAAGCCCAGCGCTTTGCACTCCTGGGCAATAAACGCAAATCGCACGGGACAAGCTTCGCAGCGGCCACATATCCCAGTGCCCAACCCTCAACCATCACCACAGCCACATGTGCTGCAGCTGCATGGTGAGCAGCAGCCGCGGCTGGATCACTTCCGCTGGCTTGAGGCAGGACATCGGAACCCAGCGGTGCTGCGCTACCTGCAGCAGGAAAATGAATACAGCAAGCTACAACTACGTCACCTATCGTCATTACGAAAGGAGCTCGAACAGGAGGTGGCCGAGCTGGTGTGGCGCCAAGCCCTAATGATGGCCGCTCAACAACCCTCACACACACCCAGAAGTAACTCAACACGGCACTTTGGGAATTTCGAATATCTTCGTGAGCCTGTAACTTGTGGCGATGCAGCTCGTTTCCGCCACCTCCGGATTCCCCGTCCCGTACAGTTTCCAGATCCAGATCCGGATCCACCGCCACGGTGCGAGTTCACACGCGCCGTAGCTGATGGGCAAAACCGGTGTCCCACCCTCGGGGCCGCCGCCACAGCGGGCGCTGCTTGTTGTGTACTTGACGAGCATCAGCGCATTGCTGCCTGCGGCAGCGGAGCAGCCAACTACATTCTACACTCCTTCGCGCCCAGCCCTACGTTCGACCTGGCCGCGTTCTCCGAAACCACCCAGCCAGTGCCGCCTGGCCAGCGGCTGCCAAACCGTTTCGTCCTGCATGTCGTACACGCCGACACAGGCAGGACGCTGCTGGAGCCTGTTGTAGGTGTCAGCGGCGACGTGGGGTGGGTCTCACTGGGCAACGTTGATGGAAGGAACGGCGATGGCGGCGGAAGCGGAGCCGGAGGCGGCGGCGGCGGAGGAGGCCGCGTCTACTTCACTCGCGCTGCGCAACGGGAGCTATGGTGCCTGGACGTCAAGCAGCCGCCGCCGCCGCCGCAGCAGCAGCAGCAGCAGCAGCGGCGGCGGCGTTCTGAGGCAGCCGCCGCCAAGGCGTCGCCTCGGCTGGTCTTTCGGGAACCCCACGGCCAACCCATCCAACTCGTCCAATACGGCACCTGCTTGTACGGCGAGACGCTGGGGAATACGGGTGTGCCGCTGGAGGTACGGCTGCTGGGCGTGTGTAGCGCGGGCGCAGACGCACCAGTGCCAGGAGAAATGGAAGGACCCATCGGTCAGTCAGGAGCGGGTCTGCCGATCCGGGGTGACGGGAGCAGCGACGGCGACGGCGACGGCGACGGCGACGGCGGCGGCGGCGGCGACGGCACAGGTGGCGTTACTGAACCGGAGGGGGTGGCGGTGGCGGCGAGGGCGGCGGCAGCCGCCATGCAAGCTGCCGCCGCGGATCAATCGATGAATGGCGCAACACGGGGTGGCACCGAGCCAGGTACGACAGCAGTGGCGGCGGCGGATGATGGTGAGGGGTTGACGGAGGTGACGGCCGCGCGGCGGCTTGAAAACCACGCACATGACGACGGGGTGCCTCTCCTGCCACAGCGGCCGGGCCGGCAGTACAGCGTCATATATCTGGGCCTTGCGCCTGATGCCGTCACTCTGGCGGGAGGGTACGAAGCTAACGACCGAGGCGATGGCGGCGCCAGCGGCGCCGCCGAAGACCATGCGGGTGTCCCAGGCCGGAAACGGCTCTTGTGTGGCGGCCGCAGCAGCTACTGCGGCAGCGGCACTGGGACTTCGAACGACGGCGATTGTCCTGGCATTGGCGGTAGCTGCGACGGCGGCGGCAGCAGCAGCCTCAGTCATGGCAGTAGCTGTAACGGTTACGAGGCCTTGCTGCTGTGGCTCCGCGACCTGGACCATCCAAATGGCTGCCTGCTGCTGGCGCTGGTGCCGGTGCACCATTCCTTGAAGCGATGCGACCGCGATCTTGGCCTGTCGTATGTGCCGCCGCGGGTGGGTCCGGTAGGTTGTGTCGACAGTGCTGGCTGGCTGGCTGGCTGGCTGGCTGGCTGGCTGGCTGGCTGGCTGGCTGGCTGGCTGGTAGGCTGGCTGGGCCTGTTTATGATTTATGCTGAGCTGTGCTCTCACCTGCGAGACTTGTCTCGACTACTGGCAGTCTTGTCTGACTGCATTCCTGCCTAAATGCCTCCTTAGGCTTTGTCCCCCTGGTCAATCAGATATGTGAGACTCCCCCTCACTGGTGTGTGCTGCTCAGCGCCGCCAGAAGACAAAGCTGCTGGAGCTGCTGGCGCACAATCCGAATCTCCGGATAGTGCACGTCGAAGTGCGACCGGGAGGCAGGGTCCTGTGCGTCCGGGAGGCTGTCGACGGGAGAGGTGACCCGGGAGGTCTGTACGAGCTGGACGAGCTGCAGCTGGACTGGAGCGCTGTCAAGCAATCGGCGGTGGTGGCGGCGGCGGCAGACGCGGCGGCAGCAGCTCGTGCGGGCTGCGAGGAGGATGTCAACGGCGACGGCGACGGCTATTATGGGTGGCGGTCAACGGCGCTGCAGATGGGAGCGCCGCGAGGAGAGTCAGATCCGTACATGCGTACGGCGATGCCGCTAGCGCTGGTGCACCGCCGCCGTACGGTTGTTGTACAGGGCCCGCGGCAGCACGTGCTATGTGTTTTGGCTTGGGGGGATGACGGCCAGGTGACGCTGGCCTGCAGCAACATGGCCGCGGCGCCGTGGGTAACCTCGGTAGAATTGCTGCCGTACGCCGTACAGGACTGTGGTAGTGTGGAGAACATTGGCGGTGGGAAGAATTTGAATACGGCGGCGTTGCAGGTCGCGGCGACGATGGCGACGGAGATACGGTGCGGCGACGTAAACCCACGGCTCATGATAGAGCGGCTGTGGGCTACATCGCATGACGGCGCGCAGGTGCCCATTACGCTCTGTCGCATGGTTTCGGAGGCGGGCAAGACCGCGGCCGGCACAGGCGGGCAAGAGGATGCGGTGCGGAAATGCGGCACGGAACGGTACGACACGAAATACTTCTTCTTTCTTAACACGTGGTTATCGAATATGGGGGTACGCTAAGAATTATTCCGTGCAAAAGTCCACGTGAGTATCCCAAGTAACGAGTGCCGTACTCATAGGAATATTAATGTAATGTACGTGTTAGCCTGCGAGTACGCAGGGCGAATGAACGTCGTGTGTTGCTGCCCATCCATCATTCATGCCGAGATCGCCATTCATGGGTACGACATAGTGCACGTGCTGCTGCATGCACACACACACACATAATTCGTACGGCACTCCGAAACCGGCATTTGGAATTATCATCGCCACAGGCATATGATATGCATAAGCTTCCTTCCGCGCGCCTGCGTGCCACGATGAATCCCGTAGTATCCTGCTCTGGCAACACCTGCCCACTGCCGCCTCACCACCACTGCCACCACCCCGTGTGCCGTACTACACCTGCCGATGGAATCTCCAATCGTGCCTTGAGCAGCGAGTCGTCGCCATTGCCGTCGCCATCCGGCGCACCGGTTCCTCTTCTACTGCGCGTGTACGGCGCGTACGGCAGGGATCCGCCGTTAGACTACCAGCCGGCGCTGCAGCCACTTCTCCGCCGTGGCGTGGCAGTAGCGGTGGCGCACGTGCGCGGCGGCGGTCTGCTGGGGCCTGCATGGTACGACGCAGGTCGCGGCGCCGCCAACAAGGCCAACAGCTACCTGGACCTTCTGGCAGCGGCGCGACACCTGGTGGCGACAGGCGTGACGACACCTGGGTTGATGTGCCTGGCGGCGGAGTCGGCGGGTGCGTGTAGCGGCTTCCGTGAGCTGCCCTGCAGATGCTGCGAACGGGCCCGGCCATTGTCATGGTCATGGATAACAAGGGCGCTGTCCTGAAGATCTTGTCCTCCCCCTCGCGCCCCGTACTATTCGCACACAGTTTTCCCGCGTTTCCCTCCTACTATATAACCCCTTTTCATGTCTTGAGGGCGGGAGAAGCGAGCCCTTTCTTTCCATGCCTGAGGGCGGGTCTAATGCGCGCGAATGGCGCCCCTACATCTTGTGATGATGTGGCGAGGCGTGTGGTTGCTGCGAGAGTGCAGGTCCATGGTGTGATGCAAGCCACATTGCATTGCATTGCAGTGCAGTGTTACGACTTATTTCGGCTCGCATGGTATGGGGAAGCCTGGTTGAGTGGACTGTAGATGTACGCTTGGGGGGTGTACAGTGGGCTGTGGTTGCGCAGCGGGCTGTGTGCGGTAAGCTGCGTCTGTATACATGTCGCGAATCAGATGGTGAGGTGCGCAAAGAGATTGGCGCTGGGCCGCGTGGCCGTGTCCTAGGATAGGTCCATGATCTGCCCGTGTGTGACGGACTGACGTACAGGAGGCTGGGCGGCGGGTGCGGCTCTCAACGAAATGGGTACCCGCCTCTTCCGCGCCGCGGTACTGACCGTGCCCACCCTGGACGTGATGACGTCACTCCTCGAAGACCCGACTTACGGTCCGTACGAGCTGGGTGATCCACGTGCCGACCCAGCGCTGTACCGTGCAGTGCTACGCTGGTCGCCGTACGACGGGCTAGGCGCTGTGTCCGGCGTGCAGTACCCGGCACTGCTATTGCGCGTGGGGCTGTTTGATACGAATGTACCGTACTGGGATCCGGCCAAGTACATGGCACGTCTGCGGAGCCTTGCAAGGCGAGATGGTGGGGTCGGTGTCTCGCTGCGTTTGATGCAAGTAAGCTTGGGTCAGGGGCCTGTGAGTGCTGATATGCAAGCGCGTGCGTGCAAGCGCGGGAATCTGTGGATCAGGGAATTGAGCCGAGGTGTGCGTTTTCTGCCCCTGGCCACCCGATTGCGCCGAAAGAGGCCACAACACGATGATCTGTGCGTGCCTTAACAGCCTGAGTTTTCTCAAGCCTATTATACATTCTTGATTATCCTAGCGCACCTCCTGGGGATTGAACCCCAAGCTATTTATGGTTATCGGGAATTGTGGGCATCGTTAGAACATTTGGGCATAGCAATACACGCAATTCGGTTCCCAGCATCTGCGCTTGCGACCACCCCTGAATCCCCCTCATCGATGACAGGTCAAGCCGGGCGGCCATGAAACGTACGACAATGTCGCCGACGATGCGGCGTTCTGTGCATTCGTACTATGGTCGCTTAGGATGTGGCCCGGCAAGCTGGAGCGCGTTGGAACAAGAAAGCCTGGGACTCAAGTGCAATAACGAGTTGGGCTCGCGAGCAGTGGCTACCGCATGGTGCTCTATAGTCTTCACGGCCTAGCGCTCATTCCGAGGCCCACATTCTGCACAGCTTGACGCGGCTCACGTTTGCTTTGCAACAGTGTAAAAACGAAAGTGCATGGCATGCAGCTGCATCATGTCTTTCTATGTCAAGGTGATGGTCCATGTGGGTAAGACTGCCCCGTACTTGGTACAGACGTCTGTGAAAATTCCGCTATACATGAATTGTCCCCTCTGCCAATGGATAGAAACAGGTGCCACGGGACAAGGCCCCTCCCCATAGACTGAGAGGTGCAGCGTAAAGTCGGAGTACTGCGAACAAACCCATGCGCCTCAGCGTGTAATGAAAACTTCCCAGCCTATAGTGGAGTCAATAAACTGTTCCATGAGGCACTATCACGATATCACCTCCACGTCGAAGCGCGTCCGCGCACAGCCCGAAAGCCAGTAGTCAAAATTGATGAGCTAAAGGTGATACCTTTAGTAAAGTTTTCAGGACCCCTCCTCGTATGGTTTTCATCCATTTCCCTCAATACAAAGCTTGGCAACGACTAGTAGTACTTGGCCTTCTCCTGTACACGACTGCTAATGCGCATGGCTTTCTACAAATTAAGCGTATAATAGATGACGTTTGTCAATTTCCTTTGGATTGCCGCCGGACACATTGTCCAGCCGCCGCCGTACATGGTCGCAGTCTCTTGAGCAGCCTCGCCCAAACGGAAAATTTCCTCTTCCAGTGGCCCTTTTTCGTTACCTTGCTGTTAGGATAGCAAAATGGGCGGCGAGAACGTGCGCCTGTACGTGAAGGGCCACATTCTGGGCTACAAGCGGTCCAAGGCCAACCAGCAGAATCATACCGCTCTTCTTAAGATTGACGGGGTGGCCACGAAGAAGGAGACGGCTTGGTACCTGGGCAAGCGCATCGCCTATATCTACAAGGCCAAGACCGAGAAGCAAGGAACGAAGTTCCGGTGCATTTGGGGCCGTGTTATGCGCGCGCACGGCAACGTCGGCGTTGTGAAGGCAAAGTTTGCTTCCAACTTGCCTCCTATCAGCCTGGGTGGCGCTGTCCGCGTTATGCTCTACCCCAGCCGCGTGTGATGTGTGCAATGGTCCACGGAGGCGGAGAGCGGCGGCGTTGCCACAGCTTGATGTAACTGCAAAGTGGAATTCTCGTTTCTAATTTCTCACTTTTTGCACGAACTGCACAATAAACGAGGAAAGCAAGTAATTAAGGAAATGCTACTGGAAATGCCGGCAGAACGCATGTGTTGCAGCATCCGATACATCTCGCGGAGTCTGCCAAACAGCATTGTTCCCCGTGTGGCGTGCAGATGGGGAAAGCGGCAAGGTGAGTGTTGGCGGGGCTATGTGCAGGGGTAAGGGTACGTATGTGGAGCTGCGCAGCTAGGGTGGCGTAACGTGTTTCATTTCAACCGGCTTTTCTGTGCAGCTACGTGCAGCTACAACAGTCAATCCGGTGGACCTTGCACGCCGTTCAGCTGCACGGTTGCACTGAGGGGGGCTCCCATTGGCACGACACCTCGGGCCTGTTGGCGCTATTATCGTTCAACATTGAAGACGCCTGTAACGTTTCTAGCCAGGAATCCTCCCGGTTTATGGGCCTTTGGTTCCATACCTGCATTGGAAGTTGTGGTTAAGCACGCAAGGTCGCGATGCCCCCTTTTCCAGTCTTTTGGGTGGTATTGCGCGCGCCTAGAAGGGGTAACGGTTGCATACATGGGTACAATGCGCGACAATTTGGCTGTCGGGATGCGTCCGGCTAGCGGGAGCTTCTTGGTGGGTTAAGAGTTTCGCCGTGTGATAGATATTCACCACAGGGGGGCCGCCGCTCAAATATGCACATATTGTTGTTGTTGTTACATGGTCGTGGGTGCGTTCCCCGTACCTGCAAACCACCCTAGTACGAGCCGAGGGCTCAAGGGCTGCCAAATCGCCTATAAGCACCATCCTACCTCGCACTTCCAACGAGACAAGTGATAACGACCAAAGGGAACGATAGAGTTGCGGTGAGACCATATGCGTTCCAGCATCCTTGCCAGGCGTTCAGGTTCCCACTTCATAGCGTCCTTATATGTTCGAAGCGTGGAAAGCCCATATCAGATCTGATTTCGTCGTAAACCGGACAGCCCAGCAAAATGTGTTTCTCATCCTCGATGTGGCTATCAGTGCCGCAGCAAGGGCATACTCGCTCCTCCCTAGGTATTTAACGCCGTCCCTTACGCGCTCTGTTAGCCGCCAGTGCCCAACAGCAAAGCCTAAACTGCATAAGCTTGCGATTCGCCGAACGTGGGATAAACATTGTGATGTGCGGGAGCACCTCCTTCCTGCCCGCTTGCTCAGCCGCCAGCCCTATCCAATGCTTATACTTCGCCATGTGGATTCCTGCTTGCTTGCCGTCTGACGGATACACGTCAGGCTGGACATCTAAACGCGTATGCTTCCAACCACTCATTAATCGGTCCTTGAACTCCAAAATCACACCTTCTGGCATTGGCTTGTTCATCAACCACTCCACTCGTTCGTCTACCTCGTGTAGCCCTTGCGGGGCCTCTTTCCATACATCGTGCCCCAAAAAACATATGACCCGCCGCCCGTCCTTGCAAAAGCGAGCGTCATTACGGGGCAATAAGTTGTGAATGTCATCTGTGCGCTCAAGTGAAAAGTTTTGTGTTCAGGAGAACCCAGATTAGCTCTTGACAATGCCACAGAGCATGGCTTGGGCTTTCACATACAGGTGCGGAACTAAGGTGCTCGGAAACCCTTTCTAGTGAGTCGGCGGCAACGCCCTAGTGCTCTAGCGGTGCCGCGACGACAGCGATAAGGTATTATTATCGGAACCATCTTGCGTCGTCAGTAGATCGCGTCAGCCTTATGATCCTGCAGCGATGCATCGAATGGATGTAGCTTTTGTGCGAAATCATGTGGCACGTGTCTGAGCTGTTGCCGTCACATGTGGAGCATCAGTAAGGCTTGTCTCCGGCCGTGGTAGCTGTTGAATAACGTTTGGCCCTTCATCAGATAAACGTTTCAACTCATTTCCACCGGCGTAATAGGCGACGATTTGCTGGGTGGGTGGGTCAGAGTGTTTCGATGACCTAGCTTGTTCGACACAGCTTCGCGGCAGCTTGGAATAGCGTGTCCAGATACGGCGCGCCATACAGCCTCGCAACTTTTCGCAACGTTTCTACTCTTCAAGCTGCTTCTTCAAGAACAGAATGATACAGAATAAAACTTTGAGCACCACATGGGTCGCATCGAGGCATGCAGGAGAGAGACGTGACGCCCACGTGCTAACGATAAAAAGGTAAATTACAAGACCACCTCTCACACATGGCAAAAGTTTGCAACCGTCTTCAGACTCTAAATGTGTCAGGAAAACGCTAAGCCGCATACTCAAAGCGATTTGGATGAGACGCATACAACAAATTCCTTACCTCCATACCTTGAGGCGGCAGGTAAAGCCGTATAGCCAGCTGGACTGAGGGATGCTTTCTTTTCTGCTGACTTTTAGCCGTTGGACAGTAATGCTTAAGGAAATCTAGTCAAGGTAAAGCCCTAACTCCCGACCAAGGTGAAGCCTCCATAAGCCTTATTTCCCGTATTCGTCCGTTGGGCCATAATTTCATACGTTCCGACGGTGACAATCATAATGCTACTATTGTGGGCCGTCTCAAGGCCAGCAGTGTCGTGCGGTTGAAGCTCGTTTAAGGCGTTGCACATGAGCCTGTAGGGCTCCACTGTAACGACTACTACTGCACTGCCAAGGATGACGCGTTTTCAGTTGCGCCGAGGTTGCTTGGCAATACGACTTTCGTGACCGGTAGAATCTGATTCTTAACTTTGACGACACAGTAGGAGCCATGGAATTAGGGGCATCATGTTATGCGTCTTATGCATGTATTTGTTAAGGGGGGGGGACTTGCGGCAATTCGGGTGTCATCCACAAGTGCTTAAGATTAATAGAGGAACATGCAGGGAAATATGACACTGATAGCCCAGTTCAATAACCACACATACACACGTTCCTTGCCAGGCCGACGGCCACCGGCGTGAGAATCAGCAAGCTTGGAGCTCGAATGCTTGGAACTTCACCTAGCTTCATCAGAAGATGTGTGATCGGGGCCCCCCTTTTCCAATGACGTGCATTCACGGACCTTCACGACGCCCATGCGTCAGTACACAACTGATGAAGGAAACGGATCAGCACGTTGTTATCAGCACACCGCCATGAATCAATTATAGCAGTGGCAGTGTATTGGTAACAAGCTAAGAGATTCTGCTTTGTTTGACGCGTGGCGGGTTCTGACGCAGTACATCCGCAACCACGAAATAAGTCAACACCCGCCCACAGAATGGCACCGCACAGCTTTCTAACTAATGGCAGATCTTGAACCCAAGATGCCGAAGGTAGGCGTATGTCCTCAGGCGACGTGCCCTTGCAAAGTGTCGCTTGCTGCAGCTTCTGGGCATTCAACGGTTAACTCTGGTATCATGTGGGCAGAAAACGAACGTAACAACCTGTTAGCATTTGTCTCCTACACCAAAGCATCTGTCTCCTACACCAACGGCCTCGCGGACTGGTGCCTGCGGACTGGGTCGCTTCCCTTCTGCGGTGGCATTTCTCCTTTTATTATTGAACAGATATCTTGGTAGTATTTTTTGAAATCTAATTACACAGCGAAGTCACGTTGTAGGCTAACAGCACATAACTGCCTTTTCACAGCCAAGCCTAACTATGTTTCGATTTTATAGAGGGTAGTACAAGGAGTTATCTTGGCCAAGTTTATATTGTCAACTTGGGGATGAAGTTCAAGGTCCACGAATCAGTTGCAAAGTCGTTAAAAGCCGAACCCTTCAGTTTGGGACGGAATTAGCGAGAGTCCTAGAGAGACGGTCGAGAAAAGGGCCAAGCAGATTCATAATGAGTATAAGGATTGATGCGGCCATGTGGGGTTTCTTCGTCATGGAATATACAGCTATATGGCGCTATGAGGAGTCCAATGGACTCATGTGAATCCGCGGTGCATGCGAGTGGGCCACCACCGCATTCTCTAGCACATTTATGCGCTGCCGCTTACCAAGTTTCTGTTGGCTGGGGTCGTACAAGCAGTTCAAGCAGGCAAGAAAACGTCCTCCCCGTACAAATTAGCATAAGGCTCCCAAAACGTGAGCGCTTTAGGAAAGATGTCCTTTCAGTAATTTGTCTCCTATTTCAGGCACCATAACCTACTCTCCTGGCTTTGCGCCAGACTCTGTCTGCACTTACAAAATTTTAATGCCGCACTTCCATTAGAGAATTTTGTATACGAAAAGCTAGGCTCGGGCCTGCCAACAAGGCAGCAGCCTGCAGTCGCAAGGAAGACGCGCTAGCGCAGGGTTTGAGGTGAGGTTGTTGAATAGTAATCGCAACGCGGCCGGAGTCGCAGGAATCCTTGCGCTGTTATTGCGTGGAATGATGCATGGTTAATGCCAATTTCCTTGCTTTTAACAGGGTCATCCATTCACTGGGATTCCCTGTTACCGGCCGCCATCAAAAGGCCGTCGACTCACTTTTTCCTGCATTTGCAGTAGGCGGAGCCTGATTGAGAGCTAACTGCGATCATGGCCGGAGGTAATCTGTTTCATGACTGCTTGTCGAATGAAGGCTGCACTTTGGCTGAGGCGCTCACGTGCTTTTGTAACCCTAGGCGACCAGAAGGGCGAGGTGAAGGTGGCAGTAGGAAATACCACAACAGAGGAGGTAAACTTCGAGAAGATTGATCTAAAGGAGGCGCTCTCGATCCTAAACGTGAGTCGCAAAGGAGGGCGCTGCGAAGCATATGCCCTTTTGTAAATAACCCTTGCCCATGACTGATCACAGACTACTTCGCACGGCCTTTCGTCTGCGGAGGTGGAGAGACGGCTTAAGGAATATGGACCGAATAAGCTCCCGGAGAGCACCCGCAACCCGATTTTGGTGTTCTTGGGTTACATGTGGAACCCATTGTCCTGGGCTATGGAGGCAGCGGCTATTATTGCCATTGCTCTTTTGGACTACGCTGATTTTGCTCTGATTGTTGGTCTCCTTATTCTGAACAGCGTCATCAGCTATGTGGAGGAGTCGAGCGCCGACAAAGCCATCAAGGTACACCGGAGGGCCATCTGTACATGTTCTTGCATGAATTTTTTGGGCACAGCGTTAAACACTTTATAATTTTGTCCACTGCAGGCTTTAGCTGGAGCACTTGCGCCGAAATGCAAAGCCATACGCGACGGGACGGTTCAGACTATCGATGCAGTCAGTCTTGTACCTGGCGACGTAATCATCATGAAATTCGGCGATATCGTTGCTGCGGACGTGAAGCTTTTCTCTGATGATCCCCAGAAACCCTATGAGAAGCACTCTGAGGAGGTTCCTATGCAGGTCGGTGCGCCCTAACAGCTAGGAAGCCCCTGTCTGACTTAGGGTGGGATATCTTTTTATCTCCAGCCTTTGACTCCTTTCCGCATACTCGTTGTCCTTTGCAAACCTTGATCTCGTTTCTCTTTTGCATGGATGTAACGCCGGTCTTCCGTCGATTCGTGTCGAGTGTTGGAGAAGCTCAACCGTCACGGGTGTTCTCCACATCCCTTTGTTATATTTGCCCTTGTGTAGATTGACCAAGCCGCACTTACTGGCGAGTCCCTCCCCGCGAAGAAGTTCACCGGGGATGTGGCCTTTTCTGGCTCAGCCATCAAGGCTGGTGAGCGCCACGCTGTGGTGTATGCTACGGGGATCAACACGTTCTTCGGCAGGTGCGCATTTCTAGGCTTTGCAGTGAAGCTTGGACATGTTAAAAGAGCCATCTACCTCGTCCAAATCATTATTTCAGGAAAAATGTCATGAATATCCGAAGCGGGGCTTAAGGCAATTTACCGCAATCCTCCGCACCTTGCTGCCGTTGTGCCGGGACAGTCAGAACAGGCCTTGCACCGCTCTCCCTTCACAGGGCTATGGTTGCTCGCGGGTTGTTTGCCAAATGGACCTTTTTCGTCCGAACACTATTTGGGTCGGGATTGATTCTGGAGGTTAGGTTGTTTTGAGTAATTTGATTCCCTGGCGACTGCTTTTGGGGGCAGCCGTTGGATATTCTTTGATTATTTTGTCCACCAACCTCCTCACTCCTCTATTGGTCGCTCCCCGCAGGGCGGCGGCTCTAATCAGCGGCACTAACAATGTGGCTAACCTCCAGATTATTATGACAAAGATCGGAGGCGTGTGTCTCGTCACCATTGGCATCTGGGTCGTCATTGAGCTGTGTGTGCAGTTCGGAAAGTACCGCCATGACTGCGTCAGTGGCGAGGGTGAGTCTATGTTTTGACTGCGCTCAAGGCAGGGGTTAGGAGCGACAGCGAGTGGGTCGGTTCGGAATGATTAAATGTTATTCTACCCGACGATGACAGAATACAATCTATTAGAATGCTGCAACATCTTCGATCTTGGCAGTAGCAGCTGATGACAGCTACTTATGATGCGTATTCTGCTCTGCCACCGTCTCCTCACCGTCCCCTTCACTCTTGTCGTTGTTGTATTTTGGCCGCAGAGGGCTGCCCGACTCTCACCAACATGCTGGTCATCCTGGTCGGCGGCATCCCCATTGCCATGCCTACCGTGCTGTCTGTAACGCTTGCCCTGGGTGCGGCGAAGCTGGCGACTGAGGGCGCCATTGTCGCCCGCATGTCCGCCGTGGAGGAGATGGCTGGCATGGATATTCTCTGCTCAGACAAGACCGGTGAGTGCTGCTCTTGGGTCCTGCTCGTGGTTCGTGCTGTTTTGGTTTTTATATTATATTACGGCCTCTTGTGACTGGTGGTGTTCAGTTGGTTTCGGAGCTGTAAGGATTCTTCAGTGGAGGCGTCGTTGGTATGGATTCGCGAAGGACTGCTAGGGGCATTCCTGCTCCACTTGGCCCCCCGAGGCGTGCGTGTTGTGTGAGTTTCGTCAAACCCCTGCCCTAAAACAAATAGGAGGGACCCTCAGCGGGGCCCCCTTCGGAAATGGCGCTGGATAACTAGGTTAATGGATTATGGTTACAGGTTTCCCACCCAGCATTGTCGTCCAGTGGCAAAACAGCTGTGTTGAATGCTACACAAATAGCTGCTTTGTATATATGCATACACGCATTCAAAATTTCCAGCAGCACAATTTCCCGCCGCCGCCGGACGGGATGGCCATCTCTCCTGGTTTCTTGTGCCCTGTCCTGAAAGAGATCCGATGGAAATGGAAAAGGTGCCGACACGCATTCTTCTGTTCATGCACGTGTGTGTGAGCACAAGCGCATGACGAAGGGCCGCGCTTGCTAGTATGTGTTTGATAGTTCTTTATCTTCACAGTACTCTCAGATCCTATTCATTGCCCTTTCGCGTTGCGCTGGCCTTTTGGGGTATCAAAGGTACCTTGACTCTGAACAAGCTGTCCATCGAAACCGGCAACATCTTCGTGACTGAGCCCGGTCTTACAATTGATGACGTGCTGAAGTACGGCGCCCTGTCGGCCGACATCACGGGCGAGGAGCCTATTGATGTGGTTCTGTACAACAGCTACGCTCAGGCGTCGACGCTGCCAAACCGCTTCAAGAAGCTCAAGTGGATTCCGTTCAACCCCACGGACAAGTTTACTGCCGCGACTATGCTGGACCAGGAGACGGGTCGCATGTTCCGCTTGCTGAAGGGCAGTCCGCAAGTTGTGCTGAACAAGGCGTACAAGTAAGGGCTTACGCGACGGGCGGGTGGTCAAGAGGGCACGTAAGATATAACTCGGGAAAACTTAGAGAACAGACAGTTCGTTATCAAACTAAATCATGTGCTCGTTAAGTCTAAATAAGCTATTTTTCTTTCTGGTCTGACGTGTTAATCCGAGGACAACGACATTGCGTGTTTCCTCTTGATCTTTCTGCCGCCTGTTTTTCGTGTTTGCAGCAAAGACAAGCTGGCGGAGTCTGTCAACGCTAAGATGGTTGAGTTTGCCAACCGTGGCTTCCGTTCGCTGGGTGTCGCGATGGCCGAGGGTGACGGTGCTGACGGGCGGACGGAGTGGCACATGCTGGGCCTGCTGCCGCTGTTTGACCCGCCGCGTCATGACACGAAGGACACTATTGAGTACTGCCACCAGCAGGGCATCGAGGTCAAGATGGTTACCGGCGACCACCTGCTCATTGGCAAGGAGACTGCGCGCATGCTGGGCATGGGCGACACCATGTACGCGTCGGAGGTCCTCATTAAGGTACGACTGACTATTAGGGGAATGGCCAATGGAAATGCTATTTACTTGAGAAATGCGTTTGCTGGTGCCAAGCCAGGACGTTAAAATAAAGCAAAGAAATTTGCGTCATCAAGGTGCGATATAAATTCAGATACGGCACACCAGCCTTTCTGCCCCGACTTTTGCATGTCATGCCGCACGCGCGCCTTGGTGCGCGCTCAGTTTTCACGTTTCCTGCGTTTTCATTTCATTTCATTTCCAGGCTAAGAACGGTGACAAGGCCGCGCTGGGTGAGTTTGAGAACGTCGCGGATATGGTGGAGAAGTGCAATGGGTTTGCGGAGGTGTTCCCCGAGCACAAGTACGAGATTGTAGCCATCCTCCAGGACGCCGATCACGTGGTGGGGATGACTGGTGATGGCGTCAACGACGCGCCAGCCCTGAAGAAGGCCGATGTGGGTATTGCCGTCGCCGGTGCCACGGACGCGGCCCGCGGTGCTGCTGACATTGTGCTGACGGAGGCTGGTCTGTCGGCGATTAAGACGGCTGTGCTGGGCGCCCGCAAGATTTTCCAGCGCATGACAACCTACTCGAAGTACACGGTGGCCATGACGTTCCGTATTTGCTTCACTTTCGGCCTGCTGACCGTCATCTACGACTGGTGGGTCACTGGCGTGCTTCATTTTTATGACCAAAAAAGTTTGTATTTTTCTGCTCCAGTACACAGATTCCATTGCTTTTGTGCTATGGTGCTGCGTTTGCTTCTTATCAAATGACCACTAATGCCCCCAACCCGTGCGTGCAGGTATTTCCCGACCATTCTGATTGTCATTATGGCAGTCTTCAACGATGGCGCCATGATTGCCCTCGCCAAGGATCGGGTGGAGCCAAGTCGCCAACCCAACGCCTGGAACCTTAAGAACATCTTCCTCATGGGCATCGTGTACGGCCTGTACCTGACGCTGTCCACGTGGGCGCTGTATCAGACGGCCTGCAAGACAAACTTTTTCGAGAAGCACCTGGACATGTTCTCTCTGGATGACCGACACGCGACCCTGAAAACATGGTGCACGGACTACATCACCAACATCAAGAAACTCGTAAGTAGCGCTGCTTTATTGGAATAAAGTATCCATGGCTGTGGTCTGTGGGGGCATATTGCTGCAGCGGCGAGGGCGGCGGCTGTAGTGAATGCCTGCTCTGCTCTTTGTCGCGAAGAAGATGCGGCTCGGGATGTGCCCCTCGTCCGTCGCGTACTGTTATGTATGGTGCTCATGCATAATGTTGCTCTTGTATTGCCTTTTATCGTCCTAAGCTTTGTGCCCATGGCCCGCAACAACTTGAAAGAGTTTTTTCTCTCTACTCTTTTGCCTTATCTGCAGAGTCCCGCAGACTCTGTGTGCTCCGTTCCGGAGTACAACGTTCAGGAAGCTTTTGGCGGGAGCAAGGCAGCCTGCCAAGCGAGGGATTACGCATCACAGACCATCTTGCAGCAGTGCATGGTGGAGCAGAAGTACGTGCGCGGCGCCATGCTCCGGTCGCTCATTTACAACCAAGTGTCTGTTTCCGGCCAGGCGCTGGTGTTGGTGGTGCGCAACCAGGGCTATTCTCTGGCCCAGAAGGCCGGTACCTTGACCTACGTGGCCTTTGTCTTCGCGCAAATCGGCTCCACGCTCATCTCCATCTTTGGTTTCGGAGGCTACGTCCCGCCACGGCACCGGCTGGAGAACTGCCAGTTCTGTACGTACTCTGATCACACTCCGATTAGGTTCTTCCCTTCGAAGGAGGTGCCTATCGAGGGAACTGAGTCGCGCTATACCGCCTCAGTGCTTGGATGCCTGTAAGTATGGGTTGTTTTCCGTCACCTGGGGTTGTGCTTGGATTGTGAAAGCTCAAAAGGTTCTGACTTGACTTGAGTTGACTGTTACAAAAGGAGTCACTCCGTCCCTACAATTCTTTACCTTCGTTTCAGACGATGGTTTTTCCAGCTTGACTAATAAATGTAAATGTTGGATATGTTTTGCAGGGGCTACGTCATTGTCGCCTGGATTTGGTCGGGCATTTGGTACGTGCTTCTGGATCCCATTAAGTGGATTCTCTGCTGGATCCTGAACGAGGACGGCTTCCGTGACCAGTCCAGCGCTCGCTTTGAGCGTCGCCAGGAGCTGCAGCGCATTAGCCAGGAGAAGACTGTCGACGTGGGCGGCATGACGACACCCACCATCAGCAACCCTCTGGGTCGCGCCTCCATCCAAAAGCCCGTGGCTATGGTACTCGACCGTGCGTCGGCCGCACTGGTGCCCGTGCACCGGACATCTGAGGGTCTGGTGCGCGTCTCCAACGATCCCCACAAGGCTCGAGATCTCGCGCGCCGTAGCCGGCTGGTCGAAGCTGGTGTGCAGAGGACAAGCGGCGGCCACTCAAAGGAGATTACGCGTGCTTGAAGAAAAAACAGTTCGGACTTCACACGGGGTCGGGACGGATGGGCCCGACGTGGTCATTTCTCGGCCCTGTCTGTTGTTGTGGGCAGGTCTTGGCTTACTCATTACTAAGGGTATTTAAAGCGGCGAGCGGCAGGATTTGAGTGTAGACTTATGTAGTTTTTTGGCCGGCTGCCCGGCACAACAGAAATGACCATGTCGGGCCCATCCGCTCGGGGTGGAGAGCATGTGTGCGCGAGTGTGTGTTGGTGGTGGGGGGTAAAATATGGTGATGATGGCCCAGAACGGTGTCTTGCTTCTTCCGGTTGCGGATCGGGCCTCTTGTCTGACATTGGGCAATGCTTGTAAATCTCTAGTGAAGCAGCAGCTGCGGCAGTGGCTTTTGAGCGGACGTGGGTAATCGGGAGTGAGGTCTAGGTTGCACACCACAAGAAGCTTTCATCTCGATGGATCGAGGGAACTTGTGTCTGCGGCCTCTTGACAGCCGTATTCGGGACAGCACTGTGCAGAGGTTGAGATCAGAGACGTTGAGACTAGGATTCATTTTGTTTACAAGCTCCTAGGCTTCAGGAGATTGTTGCTATTGGGCGACCTGGTACTTGTCTGTACGGTTTGCGCACGGTGCAATTTGGTGCTGCTCTTGTGGTGAATTGACGGTGAATTGCTGAATCGCTTTGTGGTGAAGCTCGCAGAACACAGCATGTTTTAATGAACCTCTTTTGACAATACCACAGAGCATGGTTTGGGCTTTCACATACAGATGCCAAACTATATTTTTATAATCCCACCTGAAAAATTACACAATATTTACATTTTGTAGTTCAAGCGCCTATGATGTTCGGAAACCTTTTCCCGAATGTCGGCGGCTACTCCCTAGTGCTCTAGCGGTGCCGCGACGACAGCGATAAGGTATTATTATCGGAACCATTTTGCGTCGTCAGTAGATCGCGTCAGCCTTATGATCCTGCAGCGATGCATCGAATTTTGTGCGAAATCATGTGGCACGTGTCTGAGCTGTTGCCGCCACATGTGGACCCGTAGTATCTGTTAAATGACGAAGAAAAGGGCGACGATTCTGGGGGTGGGTGTGTCAGGGTGTTTTGATGACCTAGCTTTTTCGCGGCAGCTTGGAATAGTGTGCTCAGATACGGCGCGCCATACAGCTTCGTTTCTACCCTGCAAGCTGCTTCTTCAAGAACAGAATGATACAGAATAAAACTTTGAGCACCACATGGGTCGCATCGAGGCGTGCGGGAGGGAGACGTGCCGCACACGTGCTAACGGTAAATTACAAGACCACCTCACACATGGCGAAAGTTTGCAACCGTCTTCAGACTCTAAATGTGTCAGGAAAACGCTAAGCCGCATAATCAAAGCGATTTGGATGAGACGCATACAACAAATTCTGCATGTGAGTCTACCTTGAGGCGGCAGGTGAAGCCGTATAGCCAGCTGGACTGAGGGATGCTTTCTATTCTGCTGACTTTAAGCCGTTGGTCAGTAATGTCAAGGAAATCTAGTCAAGGTAAAAGCCCTAACACTCGACCAAGGTGAAGTTTCCATCAGCTTTATTTCCCGTATTCGTCCGTTGGGTCATAATTTCATACGTTCCGACGGTGGCAATCATAATGCTAATACTCTGAGCCGTCTCAAGACCCGCAGTGTCGTGCGGTTGACGCTCGTTTAGCGCGTTGCACATGAGCCTGTAGGGCTCCACTGTAACGACTACTTGCGCCGAGGTTGCTTGGCAATACGACTTTCGTGACCGGTAGAATCTGATACTTAACTTTGACGACACAGTAGGAGCCATGGAATTAGGGGCATGTTCAACATCATCATCAGCCTCGTATGCATGTATTTGTTAAGGGGGGGAATTGCGGCAATTCGGGTGTCATCCAAAAGTGCTTAAGAGTTAAAGAGGAACATGCAGGGAGAAGGTTCCACTAATAGCCCAGTTCAATAACCACACATACATACACACAACATTAGATCTGAGAGAGCCCTCGGGACCGGTACTATGGCTTAAAATGGTCGAGTGGCAAGCAGCCCGTTTTTTAGGCCTTTTGACTGCCTTTGCATGCGTTGTTGTGGCGTTGCCTGCAGGGATATCACGAATTCATTAAGTCATCACGGATTTGTTCCACCTCGTAGGCTGCAAGAGGAATGGTTCCCTGAGTTGCTGCAGTGAGCTATTCGAAGAATGCGACCTCCTTTCGAGAAGGCGCTTACAGGCTATCATCTGCACCTTGAATGCCGTATCGCCGATACTTTCGTCCATCCATGATCCTCGACAAAAAGTCACGGCAAAAGTCGCTTGCCTGTTATTACATCTTTTGCATACCGATGGACTACACAATCCCGCCACGCATACCATTAAAAACACTCAAATTTCACAGCTTCGCTCTCACGTGCATCTTCGCAAGCACATGTCTAAACCACTCCTCCAGAAGCTGCTTCCTGCCATAATCACTGCACGTCAACCACACGTCATGAAACTGCTGCAGGATAAGCCCTCCGCCCAAAGGCAAAGTCTGAAGCTCCACCCTTAGACGGCCCAGGGCTTGCGGGACGAGGCGAAAATCTATTACCATCATAACCCCTGCGACGATACCCGCGCAGCGCCGAGTAAGGACTTGCGCATCGCAACCTGCTGCTGCTCCAGGCGACTCTTTCTCGTCACCGCCGCTCGTTCCGACACGCAGCCTTCGCTCGTGCCCTGATGGGCCCTTTGCCAAGGACGGTCCCTCCGCAACACCGTCGCATGCCGTCGCCCACTCGCGCAGCTGTATGACCAGGCGCGCCGCGCACCAGGCCTTCATAGGATGGGCCTCCGGCAGAGATTGAAGCGCCTGCGGGCCACAGGCAGCGGTCCATGCGATCTTTGTTTCTCTCCGCAATGAGACTACCTCTAGCTCTATCCGCCATCCTCTAGCTCTATCCGCCATCCTGCATCGCTGATAGGCTACGAAGCGCCAGTGCCCTTGCAAGAGGTGCAACTGCTGCAAACGAACTAACTCCACGTGAACTAAGACGACTCTTTTTTCATTTTTATGCAACAGGGCCCCCTATCAGGACCTACGTTTCCTTGGTCTCTGTGATTGGCGATAAGGGCATTAACAGCCCTAAATCCCAGAACTGCCCAGAACTCTGCCGGGCTCGTCCAACAAGCCGTTTCAACCGATTTGCCGATTCCAACCAGCCCGCACTCATCCCGCATGGGTTGTTCACGTACACGGACCTGTCGTACACCCCACTCGAGCAGCTCCAGGTCGCCTTCGCTGCACGGCTCCTGGCATGTACGGTCGATGTAGTACGGCAGCATGGAGGCGGCCAAAGCCACGCCAGCAACGCTGCGGCGCTGCTCCTCCTCCTCCTCCTCCTCAGCCGCCAACACGCCTTGAATGCCACCGTCGCCGCCACTGCCGATGGTCGTCAGGCCACGTCGTCCGTGCAATATCGACGGGCCCGCACGGCTCCGGCCCTGGCTCTTCTCAGCAACGGTGCTACTAGCGCCATCGGGGCGCCGCCGTACATTCCCAGCAATTCCTGCTGCTTCTGCTGTAACCGCTGTTTCCTTTTCGCACAGGCTCGACACCAGAGCCGCCCAAGTTGCGTGTGCTGCTTGAGCCACCGACTCCGGCGCACCCTTGAGCAACAGAAAGATGTACGGCAACACGACGTACGCTGCTCCGCCCAAGTCCTCAGCATGCGGCATGCATGATGCCGCCAGGGGCAGCAGGAATGCGAGGCGAGAAGCCGCCACCGGAACGGCAGCAAAGCCGTCATTGCCCCGGCCGCCGCTGCCGTACGCTAATTCAAAGGCAGGGTAGCACGGCAGCAGTGCCAGTAGCGGCGGCAGCGCCGCCGCCGGCGATGACAAGGCGTCTGTGCTGAGTCGTGCAACCAGGTCTCCGTGTGCTCGCAACTGTAGCGCACAAAACTGCAAGTCGGCCAGCGCCCCTAGGGCCGCAGCCGCTGCCCTCGCCCTCTCGCCCCGTGCTACCTGCGCCCTAGCGCTTCCCGCCCTATCGGCCGTTGCGGCGTCGCCGCCTGGTGTCGCCACAGCCTTTGCCGGCGGCACTTGCGACGCCGACGACAACATGCCGTACGCCGCCGTCAGCACGCTGACTTCACAAACAAAGGCCTTATCCAGCACCCCCCGGATGCACCCCGTCGCCGATGGCGGCAGCGCCGCCAGCCAAGCCCGACCTGACGGCGTGTCTGCCACGCCGCCGTACAGCAGGTTGAGCCGCCGCGCAGCCGCTGCCGCGTCAGATAGAAGCGCGTTCGCCAGAGTCATACATGTGGCGGCGTTTGGCAGCGCCACCGCCGAACCCCCGGGCGGCGGCGCGGGCATGCGGAGCACCTCGATAACAGTCTTGGCCAGCAGCTGCGTGTCGGCGAATAGTGACCCTTGGGACTGCCCCTCCAGGACCGCCGCCGCACACTCTGCTGATTCACCTGATACAGGACCGGGACGGGGAAGACGGGGAAAGCCCTGATGGAGGCACTGAAAGGCGGCCTGGACAGCCTGGGGGGACGGCGCTTACATGCAGCAGAAGTCCGCTGAGACGTATTGCCAAAAATATTCAAGCGTGTGGGGAAACAGGACGTTTGACGGGCGAAACGACGAACAAGGAGGGCGCGCGATAGAGGAGGACGCGCACATCTTTAGTCATCATCTCATTTCTTCTCATTCATGATGCTTCCTAAAGCATCATAGCTAGATTTTGACTCCCGGCTTGGGCATTCGATAAAAAACATGAAAACCAAAAACCTTGGTCACACATACCTGAAACTGCTAGCTGTAGCACGCGGGCGAACCCTAACGATCCCATCATGAGGGCCCCGAGTGCGCCTCGTGCAGGGTGCCAGCAGGGTACCCCAGATACCGCCGCGGTTGCCGGCGCCGGTGACACCAGGTGCTCAGCCGCACTAGCAGCAGGCTGCAGCGGGCCCTGCAGCGGGGGCTGCGCTCGCAGCCTTGACCAGCAATAGCCCAACGTCATGTCAAGTATTGCGACCCGTGGGTGACCTGCGTTGTTCAGTGCAGATGGCGAGTAGGAGCCCCCGAAGCTCTGCGCGGCTGCCTCAGCTCCGACAGTGGCAGCGGCGGCTGCGGCTGCGGCTGCCTCTTGGAGCGTGGCATCGAGCACGTCCGTGCAAGGCTGTAACAGCCGTAGCAAGGTCTCCTGGGGCTGCCCAAGCCGCTGTAGCCGTACCGTCATGACGCAGCCCTCCAGCAGCCCGCCGGCAGCCGCCGCCGCCACGGAAAGTGGGACCTTTGGGTCTGTTGTAGAACACGCCGCCGCCGCCGCCCCTGCCGCTGCTGCTCTTGCCATTCCCAATGCTGTGGCTGCAGCTCTACCTCCGGCGTGTAGCTGGTCCGCGATCGACGCGAACGCAGCAGCTGCTGCCGGCCGCAGTGACGCCCCCTCTTCCCCTGTCCGCCCGGCTGCTGTTGCTACGGCTGCTGTAGCCGCTATAGCCCGGGTGCAGGCGGACCCGATTTGGCGACATGACGCGTGGAGCGCCGCCAACGCCACTGCAGCTGTTTCCTGAGCAGCTGCCGTCATCAATAGCGCCAAGTGGGTGTCGCTCCGCTGCCCTGGCGGCGGCGGCGGCGGAACTGGAAATCCCCTGGAGCCGTCTTCTAGGCTGGTTTCACCGCTGCTGCCGCTGCCGCTCAACAGGACACTGATGGCTCCACCCAATGTGGCCAGCAGAGCTGCCAGTAAGGACACGTGGCCCCTCCAGTCGCCGGTAATCTGCGACATCAGGGGAAGCCGGGCCGTCAACATGTCATATCGTGCTCGATGCCGTACAACAAAAGTGCAACCGTTGATCTGCTGATCTGCACCTTGCTTGCATGTGAAACTCTCAAACCCCAAGTCACAGCGCTGTCCGCATGAATTTCTAGGGGATTTCGCCACTTTGGAGGAATGAGCTCAACAAACCTAATGAGCAACACGGTCCAAGCTATGTTCCAACGTCTTGCTGGCGTAAATCTCTCCCAAAAATGTACGGAAAGGGCAACGGAAAAAACGAAACGACCGAGAGCTCGCGTACTAACAACTATATTAACAACCCTAAACCCCAGAACTTCGTATTGTGCCGGTTGTCAAATAAAGGCGCTAACGGCGACCACAGCAGAGCTGCGCAACCCCAAATCATCACATGACCGCGAGATGCGGCATGGCGCCTGAGCATTTACCGCTAGGTGCTCCAGAACCAGCTCCACTGCCGTGCACAGATCCGTGACCGCGTCGGTGGAATCCAGTAGGAGGCGTGAGGACGGGGGGCGACGCAGCTCTGAAAGAAGCGACTGGTGCGCCCGACGCAGGAGCTGCTGCGGCTGCTGCAGCTGCGGGGACGGTGATGATGGTGCTGCCACATGCTGCTGCTGAGATGCTGCTGTGCTTCCACAATAAAAAGGGGGAAGAGAGATTGAGGAAAGAATGGTTCGTTTTGTTTTGCACAATATGAATATCAGATAGAAGGTGGGGCGAAACGACCAGGACGGCCTCTTCTCCATTGACACATCCGGGCTCCTACCCCACCTACTTCAACAGCAGCTCAGCATTCTTTTTCCATCTCACTGGGGTTTTGACCCTTTCCTTTCCCTGGCCGTACATAACTGGTTTTGCTTGCTTGTCCCAGTTACGCGGTTCGATTCGTCGTACTGCCTCAAAAACCACAGAATTCCAATTCGTGCACTGTGTGCTTACAGCTCTGCCTCTGGGCTTGCTTGGAGCTTGTGCTCCAACCCATATGTCACACCTGAGCTGTCGGGGACTGAGCAAGCAATCACAGCGATCAGAAGCAGGGCCGCCGCTCGCGCGCCCCAAGGCAAAGAGATTGATGCTAGGCGCTGTGCCAGCGAGCATTGGAGTGCCTGCAGGAAAGGTACTTTGCTGGCAGACCCTGCGCTTAACAAGAGAAATGTCAGCAGCTTCAGGATATGGTGTGAGGCCATAGTAAGTACCTGGCGAACCTAAGGAGCCTGGTCGCCCTGCCAAGTACGTCCAGCGGGTAAGCAAACCAAGCAGCTTTGGCCAAAGCTGTCGGTGCCAATCCGGGCTTCCTTGTGTTCGATCGAGCAACCATACCACATCATCCGCATCAGCGTCTGAAAATGTTTTGTTGTTCTGTCTGCAGGATAATGGTTACAACGAAGTCGCATTTCAGCGTCTGCCGGCATCAGATAAAAAGCTCGTTATCTTTCACCTGCCGGACCACAAAGCCTCTATCCGTTCTCTACATCCGCGTACGTCGCCTTGCTCAAAACAATGCCTTAACAAACCCATTGCCAATGGAAGAGTTCACATATCGAGCAAGCTCATCGTCATCGCCAAGACAAAAACATTCTCCTGACAAATAAGAAGAACATAAACTCGCCTGAACCCACCGCGATTGGCCTGCTTTGAACAATGGCGTACGGTAACGGTTTGCGACTGTTTTCCGACACAACGCTATCACAGGCAAACGTGAGTTTCCGAACAACTCATATGTCGCTGCTTTAAAGTAATGCTTCGCATATCACCACTGCTTTCATGACCATAAGGCGTCCCGTCGCAGTCATATCGACAACAGTCTTGCCCAGTCTAAGGCACGCCCATCATCCTTACGAATTCACCAGCCACGATTATAACGAAGGTAATATACCGAATACCAAAATTGCACCCTTAAAAATCTGCCAGCCAAAAGCCATTCGACAGCAGTTGTACGGACTTCAACGGCACGTACAACAAATCCCCAAACCATCATTACTGCCTTTCTCGCTGCTTACAAAAGTTAGCACTTATCTGAAATCTCAAAAGACGCCTCGATGTCCCTCGCCGAAGACCGCGGAAGCGCTCCCCCACTCAAACAGCACCTATGCATCAAACATGCACCTATGAATGCTTCACCGCATTCTCAGCCTGTACGCCACCTGTACGCCACGGATGCGTCTCCGGTACTTCACCAATCGTACCAGGGCCCTTACAGCCGGCCCCGGAGGGTGCTGTGACAAGGCTCCCACCTTTCAATCCCTACTGTACGACACGAAAGGAACTTTTCTTCCGGCCAGGAATAGCAACGGAAGGGCGACGCGCGGTAGACAAAAAGAGAAAGGAGACATCGTGAGCACACCGCACACTAAGGGCAAACACACGCAAAATCAACACACCAGCTAGAGACGAAAAGACCTTCTCACGAGGCGACCTCCGCACATACATCTAGGACAAAAACCCTCGCACAACACCAAGACATCAGTAAGAAACCAGAATCAAGACTGCAAACGCGACGTTGAGCCCAAACAACACAAAAAGATCCGCATAAAAGGACCGCCGCGTAGCAAATCGCTGGAAACTGCAAAGATTGAGACAGCGACTCAAAACGCACAACCCTGGGATCGCTGCCATGGCAGTGACAGAAAGCCAAGCATGCTATGATAAACTGAAGAGCTCTACCGCGTGCCGTGAGTCCCGAGTGTACAGCGCCGGGTGCGGTTAACACGTGCACATGCCGCAAACCATATCCCAAGGACTGCCCCCAACTATTCCGATGCCTCCGTACGTGTGCGGAACTTTAAACTCGTAACTCTTAAAACTCTTTAAACTATTGATGCCCAAACTGCTTCAAAACTGCATTCAAATTCATGTATTCGGGGACCCGACCAAAGCTACGACCAAGAAATGCTTCTTACGGAGTGCTCATGAACGACAGCGGTTGCGGCATCAGAGCATCGATCTACCAGACCCCGGCGCCCTAAGCTCCACCATCGCCCTGTTGCTCAGCCGCCGGGCCCCCGGATCCCGGGGTGGCGCCGCCGCCGCCAGCGCATGCCGCACCACTCATGTCGTACTGTGCCCTAATGGCGTCGCAAACGAGGGCTTCGCGGCCCGCGCGACACCTCTGTCCTTTCCTTGGACCAGCAGGGCCTAAGGGCTGCAACCCTGTGTGAGAAATCCTCCGAGGCCTTTCAGGCCGTCATATAAGCCGTCATATGTCATTCAGGGCCTTCCGCCTTTTCGCCTTTCCTCGCTACCCGCCTCCTCCCCTTTCACATTCTTGCACCATCTTCAGCAGCTGCAACAGCCGCTACCTCCAACTTGCGGCGGTCGTCGGGGTGTCGTACTCAGCCCGAAGAGGTGCACTTTGACATAACGCCCTAATTGACGCACACCCATCCATCCAGGGACCACTCATTCACGCAACCGCACACAGACAGACATGCGACAGATTAAAACCAAAAGACACCCCACCTCTCTCGCCCCATCCCCTACCATCATTATCCCTAGTGCGCACCTCATGCCTGACCCTTACGGCGCGTTCCCAGTTTCCGGCATTGCTACCACCCAGATAAATTCCGTGGATACTGCTACTGCTGCTGCTACTGCTGCTACTCCTGCTACTGCTGCTACTGCTGCTACTGCTGCTGCTGCTGCTGTCAGGCCTGAGCACCCCACATGCGCCATAGCTTAAGTCTACTTGGCTTTCTCTCTCCCACGCTCCGGCATTTTTCCATCCTTTCTCTGTGCTTGGTTGCGCTGTGGTTCCTTCCGGACACTCGGCTACGCGATTTCCACCTTCCATTGGCACTCGACGCCGGGGGGAGAGAAGCGCGGAGACTGCGCCCGCCGCGGTCGCCGTCGCTGCAGCCGCCGCCGCCGCCGCCACCTGCCCGTCCTCAACCATCGCCACGGGATTCAGGTGCGCCGGGGGTTCGGTTCGTCCGCCTTGGCCTGTAGAACACGAGTAACGCACGCTCGTCCTCAAAGGCGTCGGAATCGTCCGGACGCTGCCGCAACAGCTGGTGCTGGTGCTGCTGGTGCTGCTGGACCCGCCAGCCCTCTCCTTCCCGGCTGCCGCTGACGGGGACGCCGGCTGTAGTTGACGCGGTGGCAGTCTGTGTGGCAGCCCGCTGTGTGGTGTTTACACGGTGTAGATGCGGCCGAATCGCCGCCAGCAGCGGTGCGGGGAGAACGTGTACGGCGACATCGGGGTGTATGTAGCTCTCCCAGGGCGCTTGCATTAGCAGCAGCGGCGGCGGCGGCGGCGCCGCTGGCGTCGTCGCCAAGCCCCCGACCTCAGCTGCCGTTGCCGCCGCAGCAGCAGCAGCAGCAGCAGTAGCAGCCGCAAGTGCTGTAGCTTGCGGCGGTGGTTCCTTTCGGGGCGTCGCCACATTAGACCCGTCGTCTCTCAGCTGTGGATTGTACGGGTCGTACGGAGGGTTCTGACTTACCGGGGGTTCGACATGCGACCTAGGCGGCGGCGGGGAGCCGAGCCCCGGGAGAGGTACCGTTGCAATCCCTCCGCGGCCATCGGTTCCCAAACTTTGGACCGCCGTACGTAAATCTACTGCCTGAACGCCGCCGCTGCCTTGGCGCCCATCCGCCGTAATGCCGTCGCCAAGGCAGCGGCGGCGATAGGGCCTGCCCCCGGCCCCGTCGACGCCGTCGTCGCCATCAACGCCGCTTCGCTTGCGGCCGCCGCTGCCGCCGCCGATGCTACTGCTGACACGGCCACGGGCAGCGGGATCCACGCCGCTGACAGAGGCGCCTGCTGCCGTCGTCCGGGCACTTGGGCGCCCGGCAGGCGCCTTACCGCTAGGGCCCGCATCTGCGGCGGCAGCAGACGGGGCCGTACCCCAGCGAGCCGCTAAAATTCGTCTTATGGCCAAAGCTGCCTCAATCCGCGCCGGCGAATCCAAGTCTGCGCCTCCGTCATACTGCTGCGGTAACTGCTGACGCGGTTTTAGCTGCGGTTTTAGCTGCGGTTTCAGCTGCTTCGGGCCTTGTGGCAAGGAGCCCTGCTGCTGCTGCTGCTGCTGGTGCGGCTGCGGCGGCAATGGTGGCGGACGTAGCTGCTGCTGCTGCTGCTGCTCTTGTGGAGGCGTTTGCTCCTGCGACTTGGCTGTCGACCGTTGCAACCCGGCGGCTGGCAACCGTACTTTCAGCCTGAGACGACCTGGTACGGCTTGCTGTACAGCTGCAGCATCCGGGTCAGGGACGGCAGTCTCAGGAGCAGTAGCACAGTCAGCAATGGCAGTAGTAGCGTCACCAAAGGAGGCGCCATCAGCATTGCTCGCTGCCGTGACGCTCGGCGCTACAGCCGCCTTGGTGGCTAGTGCATTCCGAGCAGCAGCAGCAGCAGCAGCAGCAGCAGGCGGCACTACGGGCAGGTCCTGAGCCGCTGAAGAAGTAGCCTGAGGCTCCTGAGGTACAGAAGGTGGGGGAAGTGCCGCATGTGCCTGACCAACGCCGGCGGCGGCGGCGGCGGCCGAGTCATCAAGAGGCGGCTGATATATCGCCTTGGGGGACCTTGACCCCGCAGATAACGTCGCCGACTGCAGCGGCGGCGCCGGGGCCGAGGCCGCGCCTGCGCGCCGCTGCCTTTTGGCATTGTCTGGATCGGGGCCCTCGGTTTGTGGCTTAGCTGCGGATGCTGACGCTGGCGCCAGGCTAGTGGTCGCATCGTTCAACTCGACGGCTTGCGGCAGGTCCGCAATGGCGGCCGGTGCTCTGTCATGCCGAGCTTCAGGGTCCGCCATCTTGAGATGTGCCGGTAGCTGCGGCCTGAAAATCGAGGGTGCATGCCCGTAACGATTCTCTGGATTTGGGAGGGCAGCGGGGACGGCGGCGGCGGGGTTAGCGTCTGCATGCCCTGCAGCGGCTTCTGCCGGCGGTGCCGATGAAGTGGGACCCCGCTGCTGGCGCCGGTGACGTTGTCGTGCGGGAGAGCTAGGGTTCTTGGTGCCTTGGCTTCCTGTTGTCGGTTCCCTGGTGGTGTCGATAGCGGCAGCGGCGGCTGTAACGCCGGCGGGTTGCTGACTAGTACGACAGCGTTTCATCCCGCTTGACTGCGTTCCCTGGTCCACTGAGGCCAATGGGCTGTTTGGTTCTTCTGTACCGGGCGCCTTCACTTCCTCCGGCTCCGCCGTCAGAGCAGCAGCGTCTGCCGGCACAGATGCAGCACAGGCCTTGACACTAGGAGCAGATCCAGGGCTACCGTCGGCGTCGCCGCCGCCGTTAGCGACGTCGTCGCCGCCAGCGCCGCCGTCGCCGCCTGTGTTGCCACGACCGCTAGGGTGGCTCGCCTTGTGGCCTGGCTCTGCACTGCCACTGCCACCGTCGCGGCCGCCACCGCCGCCGCCGCCGTGTTGGACCCGCACCGCAGCGCCGGCGGCGTCAGCAGCGCTGCCGGTACCGGCACCGCCAGAGGCGCAGGTGGATGCGCATGCCATTTGAATAGCGGTCATCAGGGCATCGTACTGGTGTTGGTACCATAGGCCGCACCTAAATGTAATCCAAGAGGGGCGAGGTCGCATAGCTCACGCTGTATAGGTTCCATAAATAAAATGTGAGACATGCTGGCATAGTGTGTGTGGTTGAAGTGGCCCACTAAAACAGGACGCGACCGGTTGGTTGGGGCTTATGTGCTTAAACAAGCTACGCTGCTGCCAGGGGTGAGGCTGATGCATTTTTCTTCCATCTATCCATACCCTTCCAAACCGCTCCATTTTTGTTGACGGCTCTTTCGTGGGTGATCGATTTTTATGATTTGTCGACTATCTTTACTTGTTGTGCTCAATGTCTTGAAAGCATTCACAAAGGCCTCGTTCAGGGTCGTTCAAGCGTCCAAATAATAAAATTGGCTTCGGCAGCGGCTGACAAATCACAAAAAAAACATCTGATGGATGGTAGCGCTGTTTGCTGTAGCTTAGATTATGATAATCTAAGTTTGGATGTAAAATAGAAAGATATTTCCCGGAGCTTTCTGGCGAAAACTGCTGGTGTTATAACAAACCACATGGTGTTGGTGTTATAACCTTAACGCGAATAATGTTTTGACAAGCGGGGCAAGGGCGCATAGGCCGACATGGACAGGGCAGGTGGATGTACATCCATCATTCTGTCCGTAGCCACGTCCAACAG